CACACTGATGACGCAACTTATAACATAATAATGTTAATATATCAAGTTTACTGCGGTAGGCATGCCGCGGCAATTGAGGTGTCATGCAAATGGTCGGATGGCATGATCATGACGATTCAATTGCATTGAACGAAATCATGAACCTAGAGCTAGCATCATGCAAAGAAAGAAAAAGGAAGCCTGAAGAGAGCCATTTCAAGCAGCCTTGCAACCGAGGTGCAACCGTCGAGTCCCATGCACCTCTGGCACAACCGACCGTCATGACTACACAGCTGTACACGTCACACGTCCAGCTAGATTGATTTGCTTTTGAAGAATTCAATGAGTCCAGCTATGCAATTTCAAATATGTGCCAACCGGGGCCCTCAAAGCCTAAAATGGACTGCGCGGCCTCCGCTCGAACCAACCATAAGCAAGACCTTTGGCTAAGAGATGTGCCGTGTTGACACTTCCCTCATCGAATGCATATTTTTCTCCAATCGTTACCTTTATAGCTATACGACTAGCACTGCAGCATTACAGTCCTCTCAAGTATCCCTGTTCAAGGAACATGAGCCTAATCTGACTCTGGACATCTTAGCAAAAAGCGCGCAACCAATGCTGAATATATGGCAGCTTCCCCTAGCATGCGATCTCTGATAAGTGCGCTTTTGCCTGAGTCGGCGGTCCCATCGTGAAGCTGTTGGTTGAACCATCACAACGCAAAGAATGACTTCAGTTTTTGCGCACGACCTCTTTTTTTTATATTCCAACTGTTGGGAATCATAGTAATCACCCACAATATGAATATAATCTGCCAGTGCCGCCGCTAGGCGCGACATTTCTAGGGTTTCCTCGGCCCACTCCAAAGGCAAACAACCTCTTTCATGTATAAGATTGACAAGGTGATACGGGGGCAACACCACTCCTTCACTTATTGCAAGGAGCTCCAAATCAGGGCATCTGTCAAGGATGTCCGAAACACTGCTCGGCGAGTGATGAATCTGTCTACGAGACCCTTGAGAAGAACTTTTCCCGGGAGGTGTAGCGTGGATCACAAGCTGCTGTAGAAGCGGACAATGTTCCGTTATCTCATTTAGCAATGACCTTGGCACAAACTCGTTCCACAGATCCAGATACAAGATTCGGAGACGCGTCAATGCTGAGTTGATCAACATGTCTTCCGCAGAGATAGCTAGCTGCTTCCGAGTAGTGCATTGAAACCTGAGGGAGGTGAGGGTTGTGAGGCTAAGTGGCAAGGTTCTACAGATTGCCTCCGACCAGTCTTTGAACTTGTAGCTCACGATATCCAAGTGGGTAAGACTGCTTGTTTGGCTCCCAACGCTCCAAGCACCAACACAACTGAACTTCTGAAAAGAAAGATCGTCGCCACCTTTCCCGCCACTGAGCGCCAGGGTTTGCAAACCTGGAAACGAGTGGCTGATGATGTCAACACTGCCAGCAAGGCTAGGAGGATGCCACCTCCCCGGGTCAACATCCAACGCTCTCAAAGTAGTATTTGCTCTTTCAATGTAGCGAAGGAGGTCGCCAATACTTCCTGTCCCCATAACAAACTTCGCCGTGGTCCACTGGACGTCTCCCAGAGCTGGCCAGAGGCCTGGATCAGCATCCTTCCTAACCACCAAATTTGAAAGCGACGGCCGCATGCTAATCTCGTCTCCAAGTGCTTTGCAGGCGACCCCTATCGGAGGCGCCGTTTTCATCGCTGAAAGTTTGTTCAGCTTGCGAAGCACCAAGCTTGTGCTGCACCGTCGCGCTGCCTCCAGAAAGGTTTTGTTCACTTTTGCGATCACTTCCAAAAGCCTTGGATTGTTTGCGGAGACCATCCTCACAATGCAGTCCAGGAGCTCCCCTGGGAGGACATCAAAGCCGGCGATGCCTGCACAACGTCGCTGCGCCATGCTAGAATTTGCTTCAAGGAAGTAGGTAGTTGCCTATTAGAAGGCAGAAATTCTGGCACAATATCAGATCAGATGTTGCACCAGGTAGATCAAATCCCAAACAAATGTTGGCGCCCCCATTGGGGCATTAAACTGTAACGTAGCTAGTTCCAGGCGCGCAAATGCAGGGATCCCTCTCCTTGTCGGAGTCATCATGACGATTTAGCTACTCAAAAAACTAGATAAGCGAGTCCGGCTGATTATTTCTGGTAACGACAAAGGACCGTATTAGCTGGCAAAGGTATTATCTATGATGGCTTCCAGCGGACTCGCCGGTACTAGTTCCCGGACTCCACCAGGAAGGGCGAGGAAGGGCCAATTTTTACTTTTAGCCCAGCCTAGAGGTCAAATTCCAGCAACCAGCCCCAACTGGAAGGCAGCAATCTGAAATATGGCGTCCTCTGCCGCTGTGGCAGCTCATTTGCAGAGCGCGCAAGCGCTTCTGGGGCACACCTGCCCCGGTTTCTGCAGGCGTTCTCTTAGTCTAAACGCTCAGGCGTTGGAATTGAGGCGTTCTCCAGTTCTTCGCTCGCTGTCTTTTCTTTTTCCCTGCAACTCCCTGCCGCGTCAGAGTACCTTGACAGCATTGCCTCCTTCCATAAGTGCAAGCAGTTCTGTAGCAGGATTAGGATCGAAGAATACTGGGGGTTCTCGGTGTTGGATTGGGGGGTTTAGTGCAGGCTTTAGGATTGAGTTGCATTCTTTAGTTGGGGGGCACAGAGTTCGGAGGGGGGAGCTTGGTGTGAGAATGGCATCGGGAGGGGCGACAAGCGACCAAAAGAGAGAAATCATGGTGCAGCATATTCTGGTGAAGGAGGAGGATGAAAAAGTCTTAACAGACTTGCAGAAGCGCATTCTGAGTGAGTTCAAACTGTTGATGTGTGCAATAGACAGGAGGAGCATCCAAGAAATGCTTATGCTGGTCAATTAAAGTTCCTCAGCGGAGTTATTTTTGCGGCACAGTGACAGTGGTCAGCATTGCATCAGGCCGGTGTTGGTCGTTCTGCTTCAACAAAACACAGATTCGAAGATGTCACAAAGAGGAACCTTGGCTCTTTTAATTGGAAGCTTAGTGGTGTTGCCCCATTCACAATATGCAATCTGATCTGCGGTGGTGCAAGGATGGGGGACCACCAGTGAGCACAATCTGGATCAGATTTGAGTCACAAGCCAGCGTTGATCGATGCGCAGAAAGATTCCGCTGGTCATTCGACTTGTAGTACTCAAACCAGGGATGTGTTGAAAACTGTTGTTGACTTTTTCCCCCCCCTTTTTGGTGAGTAAGATTCAAGGGGTAGTGAGTAGAGAACAAAAGTTAAAAAAAATGGGCGGTGCGTTTTGGAAATTCTGGTAGAATGCCATTGGAGGTTCGGTCAAGGGTTTTGATCCGACATCATCAGCAGACAGAGAGTAACACAGACAGTGACACACACACCCATAACCCTCGCCTGCACGATAACCATAATTCCGGCCGCATCATCTCCAAAACTCACTCTCTAAACCTCAATTCCTCTTTCTCTTGTGCAGTGAATGGCGAGGATCTCGGCGCGTTAGCCACCGAGTACTCTGTGTGCCCTTCCAAAAAGGACGGTGGTATGCTCGGGTGGATCAAGAAAGGCATGCTAGTTCCGGAGTTTGAGGAAGCCGCGTTTGCTGCAAAGCTTAACCGACCGGTCAAGGTGAAAACCAAGTTCGGGTGGCATCTGCTCCAAGTGCTGTCAGAAAGGTGGGGCGTCATCCTGAGGCTTTCCTCCTCCGCAGAGACTGAATGACTTTTCCGTATCTTTGCCTTTTATTCTGCAACATTTCTTCAGAATTGTCCTTTCACAGCGCCCGTAAAGGAACAGAAAATAAATCTAAATGTATTCATTCAAAAGGATTACAGTTCAACAGCTGTTGTTTTTTGAGGTGTGGCTTGCTCCACAAATCGTCCAAATGGACGACGGTCATGCTTTGTTTGACTTCAACTGACTTCAAAAAATGTCAAGCAGTTATGTGCCTAGCTCAACCGATAAGAAGATGATTAGCAATGTTTTTCTGCCACTCTGGTGAGTGGCAGAACATAGTGGTGAAAGATCTGAGGCCTTCGACCGCCTTGAAGTCATTCGCTTTGAGCCGAAGCACGCTGAAGGAGGCTTTGCAGGGAGACACACAGCGCAATCTGGTACAAAGTCAATCATAGATTTTGTTCCACCTGAGTCTACCGCCCGCAAACACGATCTGGGCGGCGTCTGTGGTTTGTATTTCTTCAGAGCAATTCACTCTTTGAAACAAATTTTTCTCGTAACGTTGAGATTGAGTGGTGAATGAAAAGCACCTTCTATGGCTTCTAAATGACATGTCAAATACCAGCTCAATATGGACTTCGCTTTTGCAATGCAGAGAGGCGAACGAAGTCATTCCGATGGCCCCAGAAGACTTCCAGGCTCGCCTCAAAGACGGCCTTCCAGACGACGTACAATTGATGGACGTGCGAGAACCCCACGAAGTGGAAAAGTCGTCGCTGCCAGGATTCAAAGTGTACCCTTTGAGCAAGTTTGGGGAGTGGGCGCCGGCACTGGATCTGGATCCCAAGAAGGAAACCATCGTTATGGTGAGTTGGTTCCATTAACCCTCTCGTTTCAAAGGGTTGAATTTGAATTCGGCAAAATCCACGTAGGAAAGCGGGGAAAGGGTGCAGACGTTGGATCTGGATCCTGAAGTGCAATAATATTTATGGGTTTGATCCCCTCAATCAAACGGTTGATTTTTTAGGTGGTTTGCTTAGCGATTTGAGGAGTGGGCGCGGACGCGAAAACTGGATCCTACTGAGGAACCGTTGTCATGGTGCGTTGGTTGCGTTTACCCTCTGATTCTAAACGGTCAATCTTCGGAGTGGGTCCGCCTGCCAGGTTTGAGTCGTGCATGCCGCTTCGGAACAGTCTGTGATTATTGTTATGGGGAGGCGGTTGAGCCTGACACTTGGATTCTGGACTTTCGCGAGAAGGACTTGCCCTCGCGAGACTGACACTATCGACTTCTGGTAAATGCCGAAATCGAGGGCAGAAGTAAGAGGTTGTGGGTGAGAGGGCAGAAGAAAGAGGTTTTGGGTGAGTCGGGGTCTTGACGTGGCGGATCTCTGGCGTGAAGAGCATTATTAAATGCACTCTTTTCTGAGGCTCAGACCGGAGTATATAGAAATGCGCGATGCAAAGTTGTCTGAGCCAAAGACGTCGCTCTTGACCACCCTGCCTAGCATCGAAACCCGCCTGCTGTTAAAATGAATTTCTGACGGCAAACAGAGCCAGAGTGTCATTTCATCCATTGGCCCCGTAAATTGGCAAAGTTCGCAAGTGCTAGGACCTACGGCCAGAACGTACCTGGGTCTCACTTCGCAAAACTAGACAGATCGGACACTGTCTTTTGCACTGCCCCTTGGAGTGCCATTCAGAGGCACCGCACCGTCGCCAATCCATTCAACGATTGAAACGATGGAACGGCCGTTGACTTACGTACTTGCTCCTCAACGGATGAGTCTGAAAAGTGCACCCAGAAAACCGATCCAGGGACCGAGTTAACTACTTGGTTGCTGACGTCAGCTCTCGCATGTGTTTCTGCAGTGCCACCACGGGATGAGGTCCTTGCAGGCTGCCACGTGGTTGGTCCAACAGGTGAGAAGAGCCGACGCCTCTCTTCTCCCCTGTCAAGGTTGATTACCGTGTCGCCGAATCATTATTTTAAGGCAGGCTAATGGCAGCATGCTTAAGATTGTCAGCCTGACGGGTTTCGAGGAAAGCTCTGGGTTCCGTGCACCTTCCGTGCACCTTCAGAATATTCTCGGGGATTGATAGCGCGCTGAGGGGTCCGTTGACCGAGGTCCGTGCAGTCGGCAGGGTTCATTGCTGCAATGAGCTACGCACAATGTAGAGAGTGTGACGGTTTTCGTCCTGGAACCGCGCCTGCTTCTCTTGGCTAGTCGATTGCCGCTGGTTGAATTGATTCCGGGCGTGGTTTCTTGGCGTGCAGGGTTTCAAGGATGTAAAGAACCTGACCGGGGGTATCGATTATTACTCGAAGACGGTAGACCCCACTGTTCCTCAGTACTGATTTAGAGTATCTAGACAATGTCATAGTTGCACTTTAGTGGATGCTTGCGAAATAAGGTAAACATTTCATAGCGGCAGTGATTGGATCATCGCACCCAAGCAGGGAACGCTCCATGGAAGTCGCAATCGCCATGTTAGTCGAGAAGCAGCGACTGGGCTGCACGGAGCACAACGTTCGATGCCGCTGCGCAACACGCACTGAGACCTGAAATCATCATCTGAGCACCTTTCAAATACCTACTGCAACTTGTCGGACAAAGTACTGAAGTCATTGCTTGGATGCCAGCCCGCGTATTATTAGTACTCGTGCCCGGCATCAACGTTACTTGCGCTCGCCATCTTATTGTGTCAACTGTCCATCATGTCGGAACGTGGAAAGTTGACTCGGTGCCAAATTTGTCGATTTGGTCGCTCATCATTCAACGACGCTGGAACATCTGATTCGACATTGCGCAAAGCGTATATGTAGGGGTTCAATCTACTGCTCAGGCGGACTCGACAGTCGGTGTCCGACCGACTGGACGGTATGAGTGACTTACCATGCAGTGCAGGCGCGTTTACATATCATTGCATGGCGGCCTTTGATGAATTGAAATGGCGGCTCAATGAGTGCCGGGCCGCGCCTGCTGCGCCCGTTATATATGCCCACCGCGGCCAATGGATTATAAATTGGCGGCGTAATAATATGATCACGCCGGCGCAGTGACTGACCGATCGGAAATCGTGTTCTTTCATCTTGATCGAAGGCAAAGCGCTTTCGGTCGGATCGGCGGCCGTGGCACATCCTCGACTCGAGCTAGCCGTCAGAACCTACATACAATATACTGAAGCAGACCTTAGAACTTTAATGGTCTGCTTCGCTTCGCAACATGCGTGCACTAAAGGCCGACCGAAGTTCGTCATGGCGGAAGCAACCAACGGTTTTGCGGCCGCCCACGAAGAAGGCTCACTGAGTCTACGCGTCACCATGAAATCATTGTAAGCCATCGCGTGTAATACTGTGACCTTTTATTGGTTCTGCAAGTCGACCTTACAGTCCAATCTAATTGTGCTTCATTTATTGATTTTTCTTGTAGTCCGGCTGTCGTTCTGCTTGGATCTCGCCCGAGGTACAGTTTGTACAAATATCACACCTATTGTCTTTTCCACAGCAAAGTTTAGCAGACTCTGTGACTCGGTGGCGCCTATACAAGCTTCACAACTCGCAACGCATACTATGTGCGAAAGTGCAAGATTGTCTGTACAGGCCTTGCAATGATCGAGCAACATCAGGTTTCAAGACTAGATCCCCGTCGGATGATCCCGTCGACTCTTGTCTCATGATGCATCACTTATATGCTGTCCTTGCGCGTGCTCTATGAATAATACATGACAGGGTTTGTACTCCTGCAAAATCGAGGAAAAAAACCACCGGCTAAGTACGTGGTTAAAATCAAAGGAGGAAGCGCATCAATCAAGTTGGGACAGGCTAGCTGAATTTGCAAACTACTATCAGGTCTGTCCGGGCACTGAATTACATATTGGTCAGCTTTTTGAGGAGTTTTGTCTACTTTGCAGAACTAGCTTCATTGTCCGGAAGTGGACCGCCAGGTGTCATTCTGGTCTCACATGCGACGCGGATATCTAACAACCTCCTCCGATTCTTCAGAACTACCTGACTTCAGGTACGAGCAGGATTGTGGAATCTTTTGACGTTTATTGGCACTTCTCAATCAAGTTGACAAGATTTGGAGATCGGGCTTTGACGACTCGATAGCGGCAGTAGATTTCGTGCTTGTAGCAACTGCTCTGCCCAAGCAAACACGCAGGTTTTTACTCGTTTTGTTTGTTGTGCAAACAGTCATGCAATTGCGAACTAAAACATGCTTGCAAGAGATTGGTGCGGTGACGACTGATGCCAAGGTCCACTTTCTGATTTATGTTGGAGATCCACCAGATTATTGTACACTGACTTTACCGGCCGTCTGACGGGCTGATTTCGTCTCCTTGTCTATTCTCGCTGCTTTTCTTTGAGAACCAAACGAAAACTCATTTGGTCCAAAACAGGATGGGAGAGGTTACGCAGGTAGAGAAAGATCAAAGATGATATTCCGTCGAGCAAACCCCCTCACCCTAAGCGGAGCTGGCTCCCCTTGCTCTCGCCGCATCACGCACGGCCCTCGCCTTTGCGAACCGCTCCTCCACACTCCGTTCAGCTTCCGCTGCCGTGCGTTCCGCTTCCGTTACCGGCCCATCTACCCCAGTTCGTTCCTCTTCTGCTCTTGTCTCTTCTGCTGCGGTTCCAACGGACTCCGTTCCGGACCTGTCTTCCGCCGTTTCTCCGACTGCCGACGCTCCCTCAGCACTTTCTCCCGACTCTTTTTCTGCGGCCAGGGGGATCCCCTCGGTGCTTTCCGCCGGATTCCGCAGCGCGTGCAACCCGCCGGAACCCTCCTCAAACAGGCTCTCCCGGTCGACAACCGCCGGGGGCGTCCAGGAGAAAGTCCTTGTCTGCGTCTTCGCGTGATTCTTGACGGGCCGCGGCCGCGGCGCGTCGTGCAGGACACGTGGCGGCATCTTCGCTGCCGCGGCCGCCACATCGGACGGCGACGCGAGCTCCAAACCCCCCAAACCCTCCTCCGACGCGACGCGCATCGGCGCAACAAGGATTGTCTCCCCGTTGCGGTTCAGCGCCGTTCGGATCTGGGAAAAGACGTCCCTCGGTCTAGTTTCGAAGTCGTTCCCTGCCAGCAGCGATTCAGGCTGCGCAGGATTTGACAGCTGGTCTGCTTCTTCGACCGGCAGCCCAAACCCGTTTCCGAACGACGCAACCGCTCTATGCAATTCAGCCAGTGCGGCGCGCAAAGAACGGGGCTCTACCGCCGCCTCTAGTTGTTCCGATGAATCAACGGAATCCGTTTTGGGCGGCACAGCCGATTCTGGCCTCTGCACCTCCTCAACGTTTGCGTTAACGTCGCCAAACTTGCTAGCATCTTCCCTGGTAGACAGCACGTTTCTGCCTCCCGCCGTTGGTTCCCCGTTGAGCCCCTTCCCTCGCCCCGCCACGTCATCATACGTCACGTGGTCCTTAATCTCGTGAGCGAGCATGTTGCGCGAGGTCCAGAAGTTCCTGGCGTGCGCCTCGTTCTGCGTTCTCGGCTTCTTCCGCCCGCCAGCGAGCGCTCTTCCGTTCGGATTCCGGCCGGAACCGCGGATCCGCAGGTCGCTCGCCACCCCTTCGTCGTTCGTTTCCATATCGCGGCTCTCCACCGCCCGATCTTCCTCCCCATATTGCGAGCTTTCAATCTTGGCCGTCACATCCCGCAATGGTTCCGTCTTGACAGCCCGTTCCGCGGCGGACGCGATCTTCCGGCCGGAAAACAGCCCGGCGCTCGAAACCGATCCGTCCTTCTTCTCGTCTCCGTTCCTGCCCCCCACTGCATCACCTTTCGTCCCAAACTTTCTCACTGTCTCCGCCCCCCCCGCTTCCGTGCGCTTTTCCTTCCCCCCCATTCCAAAATTGGTGCGCCCGTCGGGCCCCTCGGCCTCTTCCAGGGGGCTCTCCTCCGAGTACAGCTGGGATGACGTCACACGGTAGCCCTTGTTGGCCTCCTCCATCTGCGTGATAAGGTCACCCAACTCGTCCAGGTCCTCGTCACCCGTGCCGGAGACGAACGGCCAGAAACCTGCCAGAAATGGTAGAGTGACGTCATGGACGGCTGCTGACGTCGGCCTGTCTTTTTTGGCTCTGATGAACCGACCGAGTCGTTGTTTCTTAGCGCGACCTACTCTCGTCCCTTGGCCCATTACTGAAACGCACACCTGGCAGAATCGAGTCGTCCTATAACAACTAGGTGCCCTGATAAAAAAGCCGCTCATGTCTTTTGTTTCATATAGACTAGGAGGGTCAACGAATAACCTTGTTTTCCAAAGTCAGCTTCCGCCAACGATAACTGGTGGCCCTTTAAACAGCCTTTAGACTTACGGGGGTATAACACAGGATCCTGTTCCGAAGAGATTGCAAGAAAGAAACTCGTTAGGCTTGCAAGAAAGAACCTAAGCTGACCAGTCCTTTCAAGCGCAGTAACGTATCGCAATTTAAATCTCAAAGTTGGTCGTCGTGTAAGTTTTCACCCATCCCTGACTCCGGATTGAAGAACGGCCCTAGTGTCTTGTCGTACCTGCCCTCCGCGCTCGCAGTCTGCTTAGGGAAGCCCACTTCACTCCGGCCGCCGTGCTCCGATGCGTGGCCGAAGAGTCGAGATCTGCAGAAAACCACCGATTCAATCAATCTACTGATTGTACTTCAGCATAGGCTTGACCAAAGCCTCTCCCATGCAACGTCATCGCACTCAATTAGTACTTGCTCTAGCTGTTCGAGGATGAGACGCAGATTATTGATTGCTGAAGTAATTTGCTCAGTCCGTATCGAACGGACCAGGCTTGCATTGAAAATTGTAGTCACAAATGTCAACGCTCATGGAGTTTCAAAAGAGAATCTGCTTCGCCGATATCTGCAGTCCCCTTAAGGGTTAGCAACAAGAAATTTTCTAGATATTTCTAGATATATACATTGTCACTGGATTCGCGTTCGGACAAACACAGAAGCCACAGAAAGACGATAGGAGTGTCTAGACTCTTGACAGCTGTCATGTTGTGATATGACAGCTGTCACGACAATACTTGGCTTTCCTATCCCCGGTGTCCTCGTTTCAATTCATTTGCAGCACCATGATGTGTTCCATAAAATCGGAGTATTTGCGAATCAGCTGCAAAGCAAAGTTTGGAGGAGACCTTCTCACTAGGTCAGAAAGGCTGCAGAACCAATGCATTGGGACCTTGATGTCTGAGAAGAATTTCTGCTGGTTTGTTGGAGGACGCCGTCGCTTTCAATGCCTTCTGAAAAGGTAAAGCACGACCTGCAACTCGCACTCTGCACGATCAACTACCGCATACCACAAAAGAGGGCAGCTTGTTACTTCTACGGTGGTGTGAAAACCCCCTCACCTGAGGAGCCCTCCGCTGCCTGCAGCTCTGGGTGGCCCGCATTCACATATGCAAAGGTAAATACCGCCACCGCCAACAGCCCCAGAAACGCCCAAAAGTAGCGCATGTCAATCTGATCGTCCTTGAGTCGCCGCCGAAGGGTCCTTTTCCGCTTGCCATTATCCCCTCCCAGAGTCCCAGAGTGGGCGTTCACACCCCCGGTGATAAGTCGCTCGTAGGGGTCCTCTCGGCGCGACCCCTCTTTCCCGCTGCGCGAGCGCAGAGTCTCCATCCTACTTCAAAATCCCTCTCCCCTTGCGCACAGTCTGAGGATAACCACTCTTGCTCTGACGATGGTTTTGTTCAGTACGTCATCGCGCGTTGTTGGTTCGTGAGCCTTCTCCTAGATTCTGTCATTCAAGTGCAATGCTGGCAACTGAGAGAAGACGCCGTTACACTGCCCTCAGAGCGCAGCATTGCAGGACTAGAAGCAGTTCTTATGGCTATCTCTCCACCCAGGCCGGTGAACCACGAAAGCAGGTCCCACTAGATTCTATTCATCAAAAAAGCTCTTCCGGCTACTTCCAATGCTGACAGCCCCACAGCCCAGTCAAGAGTAGCGCAGTCCTCTGGCAGCCAAAAAGGCAACAATTTGCTTGATATACTACCTTCCTGACTCGCTGGGTGGCAAGCTTACAATGCCGCGACTATATCGCCCCTTGAACTTCGGAACGAGTGCTCAGGGGGCCGAAGTCGCCTTGCGCAGTATAGACGACGTAAGAACTCACGGGTATCTGGCATTCGGTGAACGTTTCTTTTATGTTATCATTGCACGGAGGAGACCAGCTTAAAGCAGAATCCCAATGAGCTGGGAGTCAACGTAGTCAAATGCTCAGTCCAGAGCCACACAATCTGCAGTGCTGGCACCTTAAATGCTGTCCCAGCCCCTGGCAGTACTCAGACTACTCGAATATTACCAACTTTCAGTCGATCCTGGGATTGTATTCTTCCACGAGTCAAGATGTTTTCACAGTTATGTTGCAGACTGGGCTGCGCCAACGGCCACGCTCATAAATGCATGCAATTTTGTTACACACGTTTGACGATGGAGACTCAGTGGACTGAATTGACTCGTCGATCTGTGGAACTGGAATAGCCGGATTCAATTCTCCAATTATTGACAGTACTCCTCATTGTCCGTCATGATGATGTGTCTCGACTCGTGCCAGACAATTGCAGCAGGCAGGCTAGGCACCTTGCACTGAAACTTCATACTCTGAAATTGGGTATTTTCCGCAAGTACAGGCTCTAAACATGACTGGAGCCAGTAGGCTGCTTTGCTCAGAGTCAGACTGTCTCATGGATGCTGGCATGGGAATGCTCAGGTTAACCGCCGAAAGTCTTCTGAAAGTTTGTCGGCGTTGGGAGTAGTCGGTCGGACGGCACCGATGATTTCTTTCTGATCGAACGCCTCAAGTTGACCGTCACTATCTGGGCCCGCGGCCGCGCGCTCGACCGCGGGGCTACTGAGCCTCAATACACAGCCAAACCCCCAAAACCACACGACGGGCAGACCCGCGGCCGCGGGTGCGCGGCCAATACCCCTGCATGGCGACATTGCAAACCAGGTGCAACATGTGCATCAGCAAGGTTGCTCTACTGTCAAGTCAGCAATCTTTTGCAGACTCTAGCTAGTGCTGAGCGGCTGACAGCGCACTCTGACCTGGCCACTTTCTCAACTTCGCATATATATGCACGCCGGCAGTATGCACGTGGGCGCACCCAGGCTGCAGTAGAGGCACCGGTGTCCTACCGGATTCTTCCCTGAAGATGCAAGTTGCACAGAGTTTCAGCGGAATCGAGGAGCCAGTATGTAGGCAGTTGCCACTTATGTTTTCTCGTTGATCTGGCGTTATAAGTCTGAACGTTCTTGGGGCAATGTCTTGCACCCCGTCTTGCAGACCCTGTCTGGTCAGGGGAATGTTGGAACCATACTCTGAAGGAAGCTGAACAAAGACGACATCGCCAGATTCAGCTGAAATTGTACGCTGAACCTGCAGCTGTTATGAATGCGGTACAGTGGCGCCGTCTACTAGTCGTGAAGCTTGTAACAATACAATACGTAAGTCTTTAGAGATAAAGGAACTTTGGCGCTCAGCCTTGCTTTAAAGGTCTGTTTTTAAAAATTGCACACCTGCCCGAGACTTGCCGTGCATGATCAGCAACTCAGCAATCGGGCCTTAGCTCTTCGATTGCCAAATGGCTTCTTACCAAAGCGTCTCACGGGCATCCCTCGCGGCTCAAACAGTTTTGTGTCCTGCTTTGGCGAACGGTGGCTTTCGAACATCACCAAAACAGCATTATTTGCAGCAACAGCCAGTTATGGATTACCAGGAAAGGTGGGGTACGAAGACGGGCGGTGCGTTTGTTCAAACTCCAGAGTCTCAGGCGGTCAGCTTGACGGCATTCCCGCAGCGCACTTTGGGTGCGTCTTCGTTCAAACGGAGGCTGGGGATCGAACATCGACGAAGGACAAGAGTTTCAACAAAGGCATACGAGGTAGGGCCCAGGAATCTTGAAGTGCTGGTAGGCAACTATCTCTTACCGCAAGAGAAGATCGGACTCACAACTCAGTGTGGTTTTAAGGGGACTCGACCCACTTGAAAGCAGATCCTCAGTGGCGGAAATGAGACTCGGCCTTTTCACAATGACCTTTAGTAATCCAACGCGTACTCGACATCAGATCTGCAGTAGAAGGGCAATCAACGAGCTCTAACTGACTGGGGCCAGCTTTGCATTCTCCCGGCAGCATGCGAACATAGGTAGAAGGACAATAAGATCTTCAAAGAGTTTGGCGGCATTGACCCGTCGTCTTCCTTTCCGACTCGACGAGGCAATGATTTTGATTGTACTTTGCACCTGTGTCTGGGCACTTAAACACCTCATCGGACAGGCCAGCAGAGCTCTCCGTCAGTAGGGCCGTTGTAGTCACCGGGAATCCCCGGACTTGCAGATCGAAAAGGACTTTGTAAAGGCTTTGTTCTGTCCGTTCCATGTATCGTAAGCCTTTACTTACGATCCAGCGCCTCTTTCGAGAAAACGTTTCTCCCTCTTTGGCAGGCAAACAGCGCTTCAGACCAAGAAGAGTCGCAAGTCAGTTTGCCCGCCGCGAAAGTGAGCAATGGGTGCACTCGTAGAATTTCCAGATGAGCAGGCGAATTCCTCGCGGCCTATCTGCTCGATCTAGTTAATAGCCCGAGGCAATCATACTTGGTAGGCTTTGACGCAGCCCGGAGTGAATTGCTTTCTGAAAGTAATCGCGGAAAGTCGTCACATCAGCTCTGCCACTGCCTCAGGATTCGTTAAAAGGACGTCAAGCGGTTAGAAACCTTCATCACGACTGCCTGTTGATTATCTTCCGAACGTATCAGAATCAGAACAAGTAACCTTCGTAAACAGTGCAGCAGACCTGAACAAAAAGACGTGGCGAGCATATGCTTCTCGACACCTGGCTTCAGGTCAAAGTGACCAAAAGCTAGCCATGAAAACAACAAGTTAAGTTTATTTTGCAGCTCTTTCCGAGGTTGTACGAGCTCAGCTTCGAGGACCGCTGGAGGTTATATGACACTCTCCGGAAAGAGCTTTACATGCTCCGAAGCAAACTCAATTACATAGATTCACCGATTCCCGAAGATCTGGCTGTTCCGACCAGCAGATTGGAAGCGGCTGCAGTTGCCGCAGGTAAAGAACCGCGCCGTCTCTAGAGCATTCAATGCCTGTCAGACTAAACCGCGACCTTCCTCTTAACATTGGGCTAAATCGTGGTGCTCTTTGCATTATTCAGGGGCAGCGTCGTTTAGCAATCGAAGATAAGCAGCCCGTTACGTCGTGCTTCGTCCTCTATTTAGAGTAACCACTTAAGGTTAGTCGTATGGAAAGCTTTCACCGCTTTCTACTTCGTTATGGTCTAGAAAGAAACGACGTACTACTCTGCTTCCAGGGATCCTACCTCCCGACAATCCCGACGAGACATTACAGAGCCTCTTTGGGCGGTTCTTCAGGCCCGCCGAAAATTCTCGTTCCGAGGCTCTTCGCAGCGACCGAATCGCTGGCAAAGACGGTGATTCTGTCGCCCCAAAACTGGTCGAGTCGCCGGGCCGGTACTTTGCCATAAGCGGGCGGGACGCGACAGTCGACTGCTTCATCGAGAACCTGGCTGACGTCTACGCATCGTTTCGGTTCTTTGAAACGTGTACGATCGGAAAAAAGGGCGTCAATATGGGAAGTATGATGGAACACCTTAGGGGGTGAGACATCCAGCTTCGGCGGTTTATGGAGCCCTTAAAGCCCGTCTATACGAAGCTCTGGAATCCAAACGTCTGGACAAATCTGAGAGTCAGATTGCGCTCTCCATGCGAATTGACAACGAAACCGAGTGCGTGTTATAATTAAGAGAAGGAAACGGAAAAGAGCCAGATCTGACTGGACGGATTCGAACGAAGAGGATCTCCTCGAGAGAGCTGATAACCGGTCTGTAATCCAAGTGAAATCTGCAGAAAGCGAGAGGCTCGAATCAACCGGTAGCTACTCTTTCAAGGTGCTTGGTCAGAACTCAGTCCGCAGGCTTTCCTTTTTCGACATAAACATAAGTCTGTTCGTAATTCTGCGTAAAACTGCCTTCTAAATCCCCTTGTCTGTTGACAGAGAAACGCAGTTCCAGTTCGCGGTCGCCGCGGCCGGCCTCGGCAAAACCACCTTCTTCCGCGAGCTCCATTCCCTGCTCCATACGCGCCGCCGGCTTATGGAAACGCGCTCCCCCGGAGCATTCACACTCTGGCTGAAAGCCCTGTTGGGGTCGAGAGAATTTTGGCGCCGTCACTTGGACTCTCCTCGGGACGTGGAGCTCTTTCAGGGACGACTGGAGGTTATGTTGGAAAAGCGGCTTTTGTTTCAAATGCCAGACGATCGGCCCACTTCCGAAGAACGTGACGTGTGCGGGTATATCGGGTGCCACGTGCTGGCCGCTCGGATGCTTTACGCGGCCGTCAGAAGTAAGCACTTCTTTGGCGGGCTTGTTGTTTTGTTCAGTCACACGTCCGGAAGTCCCGATACTGAGAAGCTTGGTAAAGATAAGAACCGGTTGCAACTCTCTGCTGACAGCGCAAAACGCCCACGCGAATGCCGGTAGAGACGGACGGGCCTTACATTAGCCAGGACTTCACCGCTTTCGTCGGTGTCCCTTCGTCAATGCGTCCACGTCAAATTATGCAGCGCGGGATCGGACTGTGTCCTTCAGTGAATGATTGGAGGAGGGATCCCCTGCCTCAACTCTGTTAAGATTCAGCGTACTCACACCAATGTTTGTCCATCCAAATCTTATCCAAAACGCTTTCTTTTCATCTCTGCCTTTGTTTTCCAAAAGTTTCTCCTCGTCTTTTAGGCACTGGGCCGTGGGGTTCTTACCCCGACTTCCTGCGCTTCTTCTGCGACCGCGCCTCCGGGCTTCTCCGACAACTAGAGCCGCGAGACGTCTTCCGGTTCATCTGGCAGTGCTCGGGCCTGTCCCCCGACACCCCAGGAATGGTCGTTTTCTGTTGGGACAATGCACACGTGGAGGACCAAACTTTTGCTAAGGAAATGATGCGCGCGTACACTGACTACGTCATCTTCGATAGGCAACTGCTCAAGGGGGGCGCGGCTACGCGCGAGCACGCGCATTTTACGGCGTTGGTATACGGGGGCGAACGGTGAAGTGCCACGCGTCACATCCGATTCGCTGGAAAACATCTGATTCCAGTCGTTGAATCCATACGGGAGAGTAGCTGGCTTCTCTACCCACCGCCTTTATAATCTAGTGGTCCTTATCTGACGTGATAGATGCATATGACGTTCTCTCCGTGAGCGTCGTATTTGATCCTAAAGTTGGCACTTGCGATATTGATCAATCTCTGCACGTGCAAAAGCTCCGCTCGCTGCCGGAGTGTGAGGAGTGCTCACTTTCCGCCAAAAGAAATCAAAAACTCTTTCGTCATCTGGGCAGTCTTGAAAGAGCACCTTTCAATTGTTTTCCCGAAAGAGAAGTCCCTTTTTCAACTTTCTTTCTTGTCGGCTCAGGGTCGGGATGGCGGATCTCGGCCAGCGCAACGATGCGAAGTCCAAGACGATTCCGCTTCCGCTGCTCTCCAAGGTAATTGCGCTGTCTTGTTATCGCAACTGCATGGACAGAATCTCAAGTATCTTCTATCCATTTCTCATCCACTCCTTTCTGATTGTTTGCTCGTTCGCTCGTTCCCTCGTTCCCTCTGTTTGATGAATATCCTCTCTTTTTTCCTCGAAGGTTTCAGCTTGAAGACTTTCCGAGACGGGCTTACTTGGGGCCTCTAAAGCAGGATCCTCAAGCCTTCAATTATTGATCAAAGCGTGACTCGCTACCATCAAAAGAAACCCTTTGGGTGGATACTGCCCCCTGAAAGTTACCTCCCTGCTGTGCTCTTCGCAATTTGAACGATCCTCAAGCCTTCAATATCTGAAAGAGAAGGAAAGTTGAATGTTCTCACTCTACGGTTTCACAGGAAGACGTGTCGTACATCGTTCTCGACTTCGTCCAACGCATCGGCGGACGGCGTTTCCGGACCATCCCCAAACACGTCGACGTCATCCTCGATCTAGTTCAGGGTGACCCTGGTCTGCTCGAGCTCGCACTGGTCTGCATGAGCGGAGGCGACGGGAAGGAAAACATTTTAGATGGTGAGGTGCTACGTCTCCTTCACTTTTCCCTCTTTAGCATGGTGAGTTACGTGAATCAAAATCGTTCTTCGCCTTTGTCTAAGAACTGCGTACGGGACAGCTAAAAGATTAGGGTTCTTCTAGCCGTAGAATGGCTAGCACGCGTTTTCTGCATCGAACTCAAGACAAAGAGTAATAAGCCAAGATAATAATAAGGATAGGGTTACTTTGGGCGCTAGGTGGGCACCGGTGCGGAGCAGGTAGTGTTTAGGGGTTAGGAATTTTTGAGTTAGTTGGATCATATTTATGTCCAGGCTTATTATTATCTCTCTCGAGTATGTCATCTGCGCCAGAGCCTCGCCAGCACAAGTTGTGGTGGACACCGTTAGCGTTTGAGGAAAGATTCAAGGGGCTACCGTGTCTTAGAAACCCCATTTTGTTACAGTTGGATTTCCTCATGATGCAGTCGAGGGGCTTTTGAGATTCTGGTCCTCCCGCGGGCGCGACCTCCCCGACGCGGCCGCGCGCCTCGCCGCCGCGGCCGCGCGCCAACTTTCTGCTGCGGAACTTCCGCTCCGGAACCTCCCTACGGAACCGGGCCCCGCAGCGGAGCTCCTGCGGACCGTTTTCAGCTACAGCGCGGTTGAAGCGCGCATTTACAGAAAGAAGACAATTCTGCGCGGCGCCGAAGAGGGCCTGAAATGGGAGGACCTGGAATGCGCGGGGTTGATTTCTTTGATTGACGCGCGCTTCGCGGTTACCCGCCGGAGAACCGACCTGTGGTGCGGGGACCGTCATGAGCCCTCAGCAAATGCGTATTTACATCCGCAGCTGGTCAGGGTGTGTCCGCTTGCGGTACACGCTCTGATGGTGAGTCTTAACTAAGCGGCTCTGCAATTCAGATTGCTGAACTGTGCAGCGCAAAAGGTATCAATGTAAAATCGCCCGATGAGGAACAAATTGATTCGCGGCTGCGACAGCTCCTGCCTTAGCAAGCGACTTGCAGGTCATAACCTCGATAGCTTGACCAATCTTCCAAATCTTCGGGCCTTGGCACAGCTTGGCAGCCGTTCTCAGGCATCTTACGGCCGCTTCGATCCCGTCAAGAACGATGCGCGCAAAAATATTCTTCCTCTTGCATGCAGGAGAAAAGCGGCCTTTTGACCAGCGACTTGCTTCACACCGTCTCGCCTCCAGTCTACAAAGACAAACTGGAACGAGACGTGGGCGTAATCGTGGAAAAGCTGAGAGCGAAGCGATTCTTAGAGGAGGACTTCTGCTTGTTGGACGATCTGATCGGGCCCCTAAGCGACTTGACGGCGTATAAGGAACTTATCCTGAAGGTTCCCTCCACCCATTTCGAGATTCACCGGGTTGAAGGAAGCGTCAATGCCGGCGACGTGCAAAGGTGGGCTTCTTTCTGCTGTTCTCCTAAAGGCAAACTGACGGAGGCGTGTCTCTCTAATCGTACATACAAGCAGGAAGCTTGATCCCACTGTCGGATAGGGTTCGAAGACGTCAAGAATGAGGACGCAATGCATTTTTGATCATAAAGTTTCTGGGCACCTTATGAGATAGCAGATACCTTCCGACGTTTTGCAGAGACCGTAGATGCCCCCAGTGGAACAAGGGCGGACAGCGAGGCATCTAGACAAAAGCTACCCACGAATAATATCTGCTGCCTTCAGTCAATATTTCCAGACACTATGACAGCTACTGGAAGCATCAAATTCTTACTCTGAAGATCACCAACAGCAATCACCCAGGAAGCTCAGGAAGGCGGAGCCACTTGCGCTTTCACTTTGTGCAATCTATAAGGGGTTAAAGGTCAAAGAACGCACGCTTAGCGATCGGCTTGAGCTAGACCGGTACACGTTTAACATTTGTGCAACCTACAAGGAGCAGTAGGCATCACCGTCTCGCGAGGAGAGCCCAAATCAAACGTCACCTTTTGTGATTTCTTCAAGGTGGATCGACGAGTCCCGATCCGGCGGTCCGTGGGCGTTCCGGCGGCACGGCACCGGAACCGCGCCGGAAGCGTGGGTCATCCTCCAAACCAGCATCGTCAATGCGAAGCGAGAGATCGTAACCGGCGACCCCTTTCTCCTTTACCTCCACTCATTGCCCTCGCCCAAGCGTCCGGTTGTTCGCTCCTTCCGCCGTGTCAGAGGCCTACGGAACGCTCCGGAAGAGCGGAACGACCTGGCCCGTAACCCCGGGTTTGCACGCGTTTCTGACCATAATCGACGGAACCATAACGGAACGCGAATGGCGGAAAGCGACGGCGGAGCGCCACGTGGAAGTCATCCACGCGGGCTGCGATGAGCGGTTCTACGGCGCGCAAGGGAGTGCGTTTAGAGCGTGGGATGCGCTTCGACGACTGCACCAGACCTGCCCACAGCTGTGAGTTCAAGCAAACTCCTCTTGTCATTAAGCACAGCTGCGTGCTTTTGATGTTGTTGAGTTCGGCTCTTGGCTCGAGATATGAACTTCTGTTTCCTTCTGATCTTGTTTCGGCTTCAAGGGGGTTCGAAGGTTGTCAGACTTCGTAAACTTTAACAGGCGATGGAACCAGGAGTAACTGGTCAAATCTTACCGCCGACTGTTACGTTAAACAGTCTCGTGCACAGAAAGGTAAACTAACATCTTCTACTTCGAAGTGTTGCGAAAGTCCTTTCAAAGATGGCGTTGACGTATAAACTCTTCTCCGTTGCCAAAATAGAGAAGGTACCGGAAGGTCGACACTGGAAGCTCCTCTTATGCTTCACAAAAGCCTATTCAGATGAACATCTGCGTTTTACTAAACGGGACGGTCGCCACAGCTCGCACCAAACACTCGTCTTGCGAAATTGGTTCACGGAGTAGATCCATCTCGCTCCGACTTTGCAAAGCTCATGCACTTTGCATCGCAGTTCGCCCACAAAAGCGCCGCCACCGACAGCCGACCCTGCGACAGGAGAGAACGTCTTCGAAGGTTGAACAAGGCAGGATTGAGACACGTGAGGGCAGGGAACATTTCGTGCTTGTACGCTTGTGTCTCAATCCCGATCGCGCCAGTAGCTGTTACCCCCGGGAAATATCTTCGACCCATCGCGAGGTCGGTTAGGTCGTCCAAATTCCATACAATGCTCCATCTGAGCGCGTAAGGGTGGGCTATCCCTACGATCATCTGGCTTGATCAAGCCAGTTGGCATCATACGGCTAGAATCACTTGCAGAGTTATGAAACAGAAGCGAAAAACCCCGAGCGAACAAAGCACGTGCCAAGCAGACTCATCAGAAATGGCCACCGTTCTATGGACGGCCCCCTCCAGTCTGGGGTCGGGCCTCTTTAAAATCCAATCGTTCACGCTCAAGGCGACCTCTTCTTGGGGGTTAATGGCTTCGTAAAAGCCCTCCCCCAAAGACTGATCTCTCTTCCTTGATTCGTGTTCTCTCAAACGGAGTACGCTGTCGGCATGCTGAGGAGAGGGGACTTTTTCCTCGACCCCATGCATGGCAGCATCTCAGGAACCAATTCCTCAGGTTGTCCCGACATTCTCGTCCTAAAACGGGCTCCGGACCCTCGTCAGACCGGCGTTCTCTTCTGCCGTGATGGCGACAGTTCATCTGTTGGGCTCAAGCCTGGCCATTTTAGTCAATTCGTTTACCAATCGTGGTGACCCACTGTTGGAAGGACGGGTGCTAATGGAAAAGCGCTCCGAAAACTCGTCTGAGGCCAAACTGGACGGGCGTGCCAAACTTGCCGGGGACACGTGTTCCAATCGCTGGCCCGTCGATAAATGTAGCGCGCGTCGTTGGTCGATTTTCTACAGATCTGTACCCCAGTCACTTTTCGGAACTGCGGGTTTACGCTGAGAGTGCGGAAGCTTGTTGAACTGATGCGTATCATTCAATGAACCCTCACTGTCCCATACCACTGAGGCTGGCAATGAGGGTTATCGCCAATGAAGGGTATCGCCCGTGATCGAATGATGCACAGGGACGCCAGTTAGGACAGTCGGCTGTCCTACTTTGTCGGATGTGGATACGGACCAGTCAGTTCTGTGTACGGGTTTCACCTGGCATTGACTTGTCACTGTTTTGTATAAAAATTACACAACGACGGTGGTGCAATCGGTGGTCAGTGTTTCAGTGTGTTGAATGACTGCAAGATGCTGTTATAAGAGTTTGATTTGTTCATTTACTGTATGCACAGCCACAATGCATACAAACCATGTCCCAGAACTGCAGAACGATCAGTGCACTGTTCGACTGAAAACTACCTTACAGTATCAATCACATGCAGTATTACTAGTCCTGTATATATATGCTTTCATGATCAGCACATCTCATGGTAAGGACTGTCGATCCTATCTTCCATTCCTATCAGACCACACGTCTAACCATTCATTCACGTTTGCTGTGATCCGTTACTGGGTCCTTCACCATGCTGCAATCTGCAGCGTCGCCGCGCACTGGGAACGCTGTGAAGACTGGCGCCGTAACGAGAGCGAACGATAATAGCACGTCAAATTACTAATGCTGAGTCGTACCACTGTAAAGGACTGCCAAAGTTGGAAGTCGGAACCATGCTAGGGAGTCCACTAGGGAGGTCACTGTGACTCGAGCTCGAAAGTGATGTTCTGGAAGAGTGCTGCGGCTTGAATTTGAAACAAGGGCCCTAGAATTACTTGTCTTTTATAGAGGCTCGAAGCTTGCACGGGATGCAAGTCTCTTAAGGCAGTAAGTCTGCTAACTTACTATGAGTCCCTTAACCAGTCTAGTGTCAAGTTTACAAGTACTAGTCTGCAAGACACTCTAACAGTCTGCATCAAGGTCTGCATGCAGTCAGGCTGTATACTCGATAAAATTGCTACTAAATCTGCATACCGGCTTACCGGTATGGGCAAGTCCTAGTGTTGCGGCCCTGAGTGGCCGCGCCTCTCGTCGGAATGTCGTCACACACTAGTCAATCCGCAGTAGCCTATTCTAAGCAAGTGCAGGCAAGTGTACAGCAGCAACAGAAGAAGAGACCGCAATAAGCGCCGGGCTCTAATCAATCAACCCGCTAATACGCTATATTATTATTAACGACTGAAAGTCCATCTTCGCGCGCGCGCGCCGCGCTCGCCTCCGTTGTCCGGTACAGATGGTTTGAACTTTGAACACTCCGCGCACAAAGGTTGAAAATACTACTTGGCAAGGTCAATAATGCACTATGTAAAGTTTTACCAATTACTAATAGTTAAAGAGCAGGCTCTATTAATTAGCTGTTCAGCTGCATGATGAGCTTCAAAGCTCATTATACAATTCTTGTTGCAAACGAGCTACGCTGACATAAGACACCACGGTTTCAAAGATCCTGTGCACCCCCTGCAAGTGATTGCATTCTGCTTAGCTTGAAGAGGACTTTCAACCTACCATTCTCCTATCTGCCAGTGCACTTATTCTAGCTAGTACGGTATCCTCTAGGAAAACACACCCGGCAAGCCCTACTCTGTCAATCTCGGCTGTTGCTGCCGCAGGAAAGCATATCTACATAAGTTGCAGTTTGCATTGGCTAAAGAAATTTGCGCAGCATCACTGCATCTTTTCCTGGCGGCGGCCTCCTGGCATCCTGCAGCGCTTTGGCCTGTTCAACAGGGCAACCATGAAAGCTGGTTCAAAGAAACTAGAGCGGCAGAAAGGCGCGAGGCAGTTCGTCTCGGCTCTTTTTCTAGGAGCTTGTCTCCTGTGCACTGTCTTCTGGGGCTCCTGGCTGGCTGCCTTGACCACCCTGATTCTGACCGCCGTCTTTCACTGGGGTTTGGCACCTGCAGTCAGGTTTCGGCATATTCCAGGTGAGTAGCATATATTGAGAGAGGTTTGAACTGAGGTCACGAGCATTGAACCTCTGGTTGAGTACAATTGGTACTTCCAGGCCGGTGATCCAGCATTTGTGTTCGTGAGAGCTTCTGGAGCCATGTAAAGCTGCGCTTCTTTTAGTTGTTGAGCAGCATTGAACACTCCAAAGCTTGAGATCAGGTACACCCATTTCAGAAAGTCAAGAACTCTCAATCTGTTGTTCTCTCTACCTTCAACCTTGAGTTTCTACGTGCGTGTGGTCATTCATCACTCTCGCAACCCCACCCCTGAGCACCACCTCCCGTCTTTCAAAACCAATGCACCTAAAACCCCTGGCAAATTTGTTACGGTGCCTGTCCTATCAACTGCAGAGACATGCTTCTTGGGTTGAGTTGATGCGTGGCCTCGCAAGTTGTGCCAGAAATCAAAGAGCTGCGTTAACCTTCGTTATGAGCAGTATCTTCATTGAGTTGCTGCCACTTCAGATGCTATCCAGCTTTCTCAATTTTTGCACAGCTGTATATCCTTTAGGAAAGCGATGCCAGAGGGGGCTGGAACCTGACAATCATTTGTTTAGGCCCCTCAGCTTTCAGATAGTGGCAGCTTGTAAAACCCTTGCATTCTCTAAAAAGGAGAAGCGCAGCCCCTAGCTAAATCTCCCCCTGCTAACGTGAAAGCCGAAGTGTTAAAGCTGAGTCTCTGAAAGCACCACAATCAGGCACTAGTCAAATGCCGCATCCGTCAATCTGTTTCTCAAAAATCTGCAGGCCCCTCCTTCCGCCCCTTCATCGGAAACCTCCCAGAATTAGCGGAGAAGGAGTATCCTGAGCTGATCTATCAGTGGTCGCTCCAGTATGGCCCTGTGTTCCGCTTGTTCATGGGGCCATCTCCAATTGTGGTCCTCAGTGACGCTGAGAGCATCAAGACTGTGGGAGTGAAGCTCTTTCAGGACTTCCATACACGGCCTCCCATGCAGTCCACTGAGACAGCACCGGTCGGCATCGTCTTCTCAAAGTAGGTTCTTTGTCCTTCGCTTCTCTATCAGCCACGGCATGCCATTACAAGAGCGGTCAGGGTTGAGTACGCTTGCTTATTAGGAAAACCTCTCTTGTTTAGTCTACACAGAATTGCGATATGATGATTAAGAAAAGCGCGTTGTTTCAGAAAAGATTGAGCCTAGGCGCTGTTGATCTTTTCTTTTTTCAAGACTTCAAAGTGGTGTGCTTACAAGAGGAGAGGTTTATTTCTAAAGCTGGAGGTTAGAAAATGGATACAGCTAGTGGCGGGAAGGGCTGCCCCCTGTTAATTGTTGAAGCTGGTGAAGGCGGAACAAAAGCAGGTCAAGCCCTGCCGTTTCAGAGTGGAATACTTACGAGATCACTGCTGAAAACTGAAGCTGACATGTACCAGAATAGGATGCTGGGCCAGTAACAAGTTCAGAGACAGGGTGAAAAGGCATCTCAAAGCATCCAAAAATCATTAAATCCTCCCTACTCTCCTCCCTCCAGCTTCTGTTCAAACCACCTTCTCTCAGGTTGTGTATGAGATATGTGCATAGATAGTGCGTTCAGTAAGTCAAGAAGGGGCCTGCAGTCTCGTCACATCTTAATAGGTCGCATCCTGTTCTCATTGAAAGCTTTTCAAACACAGACTCTTTTCTGCAGAGGTGCATATTGGGCTGGCGCTAGAAGTGCTGTCATGCCCCTCTTCCACAGCGAGCAACTAGAGGCTTACGCGCTCGCAATCCACGGGGCTCTCCATAAGATGCAAGCCAGGCTTACATCGGCCATTTCTGAGGAAAAGCCGATTGAACTCAAGCGCTTGACGCAGCAGTTGGCGATTGACATCATTGGGAGGGCAGCCTTCGGGGTCGATGTGAGCGATCGTCCTTTTGGGCGCGTTTGCATAAAGTGTTCTAGTGAAAAACATGCGATCAGCTGAAGTGAACCTGGTATTAGGGCGAGCTTGCGACTCCTGCTTCTCCTGAATGTCTATAGGTTGCCCTTTAAAAGTCTTGGTTTCGCTTTGTCCACTGAGGGGAGTTTGTAGGCATACCTCTAGATTCTCCCTTCTCATTCTGAATGCAAAGCGCAAGGTGACCTCTCGTCGGAAGGGTTCAACTTAAGTGCAGGGGTGCTAGAATCTCCCATCCGACGAGAATGTGTCACAAGCCAGACGAAAGAATGGTCTACACTTAATCGCTCTGCCACCTGAGACACAGTTAAACATTACTAGACCCAGCCTGCATTGGGCATCAGTCAGGAACGCTCTTATTTTCATTGCGCAACACCGCAGGGCCTCATCTCTTGCCGCCCTGTCTGCACCATGCAGCCGTTTACGAGACATATTTTCTTTGGATTTTCCGGTTCGCGAACCCCGGTTAGGACTAACTTGCAGCCCTTCAGGGCAATTGTGTGTAGTAGTAATTTCCGGACTTTTTCGCACCAAGTCTCTCCGAACTCATTCAAAGCCAGTATGCGTCAGCAGTTGGGGAGCGGCAACGGTTGCAACTACCAACGTTCCCTTTAGCTTAACGTCTCATTCGGTGATGTCTTCTTCGCGTTTGTGTGCTGCAGTTTGATGCCCAGAACGAGTCAACCACGAGTCCTCTCGTTGCTGCCGGGAACGGTGTCATTGACGCCATGAAGTTTGGCAAGGCTGCGCCTCTTGACACAATCGTCGGCCTCTTCTTCCCGAAGTACATCCAAGACTGGACGGCCGAGGTGTTGAAGCGGATTCCAGGAACCCTTGCGAACATGGGTTATGTCAACCGAAGGATCTTAATGGACGTGGCGCAGCAAACAGCGCATGAGAGGAGGACAGGTGGCAGCGCGGAGAGAGACTTTCTGACGTATCTGGCGAGGTACGTGCCCCCTTCTTCCTCTATATTCTTGCATATAAGTTTCTTGCGCGCAGTTGGCCATGTTTACCTTCCCTTCAAAAAAGCCACATTGAAACCCACCTCGCAGATCCGTCAATATGCGTCGTATGTTTTGAGCCAAGGGGATCTACTGGTTCGAAAACAACATGTGTACCACTTCCGCAGATCCCACAAACAAGGTAGCTTGACCAGTGGCTGTTTGAACCTGCTTGAACAATCTGGCCTTCCAAACGCACCTTATGAACGGCTAACACCGATGTCGAAAACTGCACATTGACCTGCCTGGAAACTTTCTCTTCTCCTGCGGAGATCAACGGCTCAGAACGACCTGCTTGATTCCTATTTCAGAACGGCTCGTGTGAAGGACACGGGGAGGAAGCTGTCTGACAAGGAGATCCGCGCCATCTCAATGGAAGTGCTGGTGGCGGGATCAGAGACAACTGCCACGACGATTGCGATGGCAGGTTGGTCGTCATTGCCCAGACCTTTGTTACTTCATTGTGACCCGGAGAGACGATAGGCACGCACCGTAAAGTATTGAGTGCTCTTCTCGCTCGATTGGGCTCAAAGCTGCGCGCCGCTCGACGGATCATGCCGCACAATTGCATCGAATTGAACCACATGCTCCACCGCTTGTGCGGGCTCCCGCCAATTCCTTTGAGTTTGATTTCACTCTTGCGAGCGTACTCCCTAGGCGGGATACAAAATTCTGGAAGAACAGCAAGTTTTACGGACAAAGGTACAACGAGGGCAGCTGCTGATGCTGCAGTCGCATTTCACGAGTTCCAAGAAGGCTCGCAACGTTGAAAGCAAGGAGAGTTTCTTAACCGGTCCTCCTTTTCAAGCAAGTCGGTCGCTTTATTAATGAGGACCAGGATTGATTACGATCTTGACGCGACTCTAAGAACGGATCCGACTGGAAAATTCACTCCAAATGATAAGAGCAGTACTGAATAGTCTCCCTTTTTAGATTGGTGTCGGACGTATTCCTCCCTGCCCATACTAAGAAGTGTACTCAAAACCGGGTCCCGATTTACTTTGGGTGATGCCTCATGACCACAACTGTTCTGTAGTCAATGAAAGCTCTCTCTTCCCGCAGTTTATTTCCTGACGCTCAACAAAGAGGCGCAAGCGAAGGTGTATGAGGAAGTTGACCGGAACGCCAAGGCTGGCATCAAGGAGCCGCGCTATTCGGACCTGTCCAAGTACCCGTACGTTGAGCAGGTGCGTCCGAAAGCTGACATGTGTTGGCCTGTGCCATACACGTCAGGTTTCGTAACCCAATTCGTAATGCGCTGGACTGGTGGGTCAGGCAAAAGTAGGTTAACAGGCTACAGATTTGATCTGCCAATAAGCGTGCAAGGGCCGAAAGTGCGGCTACTTCGAATTGTCTAGCACCTTCCGTTGGTCCAAAACGTCAACACTCAGCCTTAGCCTAGAGTAACATGTAGTTGGTGTTGAAGACCGGCTCTGCTCTCAACTTGGAAACTCCTCCCTCAGCTTGTCCTATGCTGCTGTCCTTTAAACAGTTCCCCTCAGCCGGACCTATGAACAGGCCTCAGAGATTGGGACCTTCAAAAACTCGGTCAGAACTGTTGCAAGTGCTCATGAAAACCCATGACTCTCTACTCGCATCACGTTTGATAGAGTCCCGTATCCGACCTCTCAGTGCTCTACGAACTGGCGAGACATCTCGGAGGTGGATAACCATCCTCGTAACCGAACCTTATAATCTTTCTTTTCCGAGCAGGTTGTTACAGAGACGCTCATGCGATCTTTCCCCTGTTCATCCCCCAGAAAAACGGACGTTCCTTGGAGGTGGAACCCGCTGCACACGATTAACCCGGAAAAACTAAACAGGATTTGCGTTTCGAATCGTCCACCGACTTCGACGGAGCCCTCATGCGCTTTTTGCTCTTGTTTTGTCGATGTATCTGCTTCACCTTCTGACTCCTGTGAGAAGCCTTCTAGAACGGACAGCGCGGTCCTGAAATTGCAGATCGTGCCCTTATGGTCGGACGCCGTACCCAAATTCTCTGTCGGGACGTTTGCAGGTTGTGAAGGAGACGCTGCGGATCTTTCCGGTGGCTCCCATGGTCACGCGGACAGCCAACCGCACGTTGGACGTTGCGGGCGTCCGCATTCCCGAGGGCACCCAAGTGTGGCTGGCGATCAATAACATGCACCGCAACGAGCTCTACTTTGCGGATCCCGACCGCTTTTGGCCGGAGCGGTTTGACCCCCAGGGAGCGGAGCAACTTCGAAGGCACCCGTACGCCTATCTGCCGTTTGGGTAAGCTATCTAAATCTTCCATAGGACATTTTGGCCCTTGACCGTGATGGTTATGGGCTGGTTAAAAATTGGTTGGTTGTTCCAATGACCAGGCTTGGGCGGCAACCAGCCTTGAACAAGGTTAAAGCCCGGTTATCTGTCCAGCAACCTGACAACCAGGTCTGGTAACCAGCCTGGTTAAATCTTCCTGTGTTCCTTCTTGTCCCTTCTCGCGGCTCTGACTTTCAAACGACGATGGCTCCATACTACGAGCTTGATTCGCTGAAGCTGAACATCTGGCAGAGACGATCTGGGAAGCGCAGGTTTTGAGGCACCCTTCCGCTTATCCGCTTTTGATCACGCATTCCCCCTGCTTCTCTTACCTTTTGGTGTCATGCTCCTCCCTATCCCTGTACAAGCAAAGCTTTCCATTCATCCCCCTTTTACTTGGCGCGATCGAATTTACAACCGCGCGCTTCGGTTTGGCTCTAGCTGAATGGACTTTGGTGACTAGCCTGCTGCCTTGAATTGATAGCGTCCTGGGTCGTCGCTGGCTTATCTCACATTAATTTTCCCAAACAGAGAGCAGCTTAACTCCTACTTCACCTGCATGGACCGGAACGCACGTTTAGTGCATAAAGCAACGGGCAGCTTTACATTGTTTCTGTGCTATGTTCATTCTTTTAGGATGCAACGAGGGGCTTCCTTTTCATCCTGCTCGTCACATCAATCAGGCAAAGTCCAGATTGAGCCTTTATCTGCGGAGCGGTGACGGAAGCTCCTCAGGGTGTGAGTCCGACAGGCTTCTCATTCTGACGTCCGCTTCACTTTATATATTGCAGTTTGGGCCCCCGTATGTGTGTGGGCTTCAAGTGAGTCAGCGCTTGCCCTGCCCCTTCTTGCCACGTTATTGCCTTGCGCGACCAGGATTCTGTACATTCGAGGGGACCGTTCTTCCATCATCTGAGTTAACGAGCACCTAGGATAGTAAGAGCATAGGCAGCATAGGCGGTGAACTTTTTGAGGCGTTGTTATGCAACAGCTCTGCCTGACGTATTCGCGGACGAGAAATAAACAAGCGAGTTCGCTTTGCAGCGGCAGCTTTTAGAGACTGCCCTGGAAGAAGTCCAGGCGTTGCATATTTAGATGCTGGCGTGTGTCAAAATATTTGTCGGTATCCTTGCACCACCCTCTTCTACATCACAGGAATTCTCGGCCGCTAACCGGGCTGTTTACCAGACTCAATCTCAGGTTACTGGATAAGTAGCCGGTTTTTAACCTTTCTCCAAGGCTGCTTACCGCCCAAATCTGGTAATCGGACAGATAACCACTTCTTGACCAGCCCATAACCATCCGTGGTTAACGGCCAAAGTTGCCTATGGCATGCTGGCTCTTGCCTTTTCAGCTTCTTCTAACTGGGTCTGGTGCACTCTTATCCTTCAGGTTCGCAATGGAGGAGGCGCAACTAGCCTTGATCATGCTCTATCAAAGCTTCAGATTCTCAACCCGGCCAGACACGCCCGCGTGGCCGATGAAAGTGCTGGCCGGGATCGTGATGAAACCAGCCGGAGACCTTCCGGTGGACGTGCATATGCGGTAGCACAACTGGTTGCTCGTAAGGACTTCTGTCTCTCTCAGATTGTTTTCCGGCTCAAAGGGGGTTCAGATATTGTCCAAATCTGTAGAATCTGATAGGCGATGGGACCGGTGTCACTAGTCAAATACTTGATCAATTGCACCGGGCCCGTTACATTATATAGTTCTCCTGTGAAGAAAGGTTGTCTACATTGTTTTCTTCTAACGTGAAGCGAAGAGTCCATTTCAGCGCTGGCTTCCAAGTATAAGCACGTACTTCTCTGTTGCCAAACTAGAGACGGTGCCGAATCCGAACGACATTCGGAATTTTTACTGCCTTCTCTAGTGCTTCACAAAAGCCTACTCTTGGCAAAGATGTACGTTTCGAATGGGAGGGTCGCCTTCGACTTTGCATGCACCGATCACTCGTCTTGTCTCATTGGTTCACGAGCAGACCCATCTGGCTTCAATTTCGCATAGCTCATGCCATAGCTTATGCGATCGCCGTTTGCAACGCAGTTCGCCACAAAAGCGTCCCCACCGACAGCTCACCCTCCGGCAGAAGAGAACGTCATCAGAGTTTGGACAAAGCAGGATTGAAACACGTGAGGGCAATGAAAAAGTTTTCGTCCTTGCACTTTCATGTTAGCCATGTTTCGGAGCCATCGAAACACTACGGCTGAATAGGTCAGAGAACGGAGCTCAAAGACCAAGGTTGAGTAGATTGTTAGATTCTAAACATCGACTAGCACGAATGAAGGTTCTGTAATACTCAAAGAAACGCGTAGCGGAAAGTAAAGTCGTTAAGCTGCATTTAGGCCTTGACGGTAGCTATTGACGCCCTCTGTATACTTGCGCTAATCACAGTCTTCGAATCCGCCCGCCCAGCGCATCCTCCTCCTCGACTGATGTTTCCCCTCCTTCTCTTCAATATTCAGTCCGCTCTGCGCAGATTTCGCCGTGCTTGTATGGGTGGATCCTGCCGTCAACCTTCCGTGTATCTGCCAGGCCACCAGGTTCCTTCTTTATGGATCTCGACGATACATTCTTTTTGAGACGGCCCCTCTTCCCCGCAAATCCGTTTGTCAAAGGATTTTGTGCACTCTGAGATGCAGTTCATGCAGTTGTTGCACGTCTTTGAACCTTGCTTACCAAACATCCTTTGAGGAATCATTCAGCATTGCTAGCTTCCTTCTGAACTCAAGAAGAGCCAGAAAGGGTAGCGGGTATGTTTCTTGGGCGCCCTGCCGCCAGTAGAAATACTACAGTAAATACTAAATACTACAGTAAAAATACTACAGTAATCAACTGCAGCTATGTGCTTAGGGAGTGCTTTGCATGCATGACAACGGTATTTTCTATACCATGCGCAAGTGCTTATTGATTTCGTCCTTGAGATCGATAAACACTGGAGCCCGCTTTCTCGCACGGAGCTGCATCCACGCGGTGCAGCTAATTGAACATGAGCCGCCTGTGGGAGCGCGGCTCAGTCTATGTGTCCATAATTAGTCCCTCACGCGCTTTTCGGTCTCGATCTAGCTTCATGCAGTGACAGCTTACAAGTTTCCCTGAGGTAATTATATATCGTGACCGCGACGGTACGTACAATTTGCTCATATGATCGTTGCCAAAATCGGCTGTACTAACGTCGGGTCTAAGTGAATCACTGAATGCATGAGCCTTACACGGAAAGCGCGGCCCTGAATTGCTAGCTAGCTCGAGAATGGAGCCGGTCGCGATCAAGTGCGAAACGGACTCAAAACGGCCTACCACGGTACATGCACTGGTAAACTTACTTGTGTTATTTGCGACGGCCAAGCACGTAACAAGTTCGTTCAAAATGTGACGTACATGTTGTATCAGGCAAAGCGGCATCCGCGCACGCGTGAACCTGCTAGGGAGCCGCAGAGACCACGTGTCATTCAATTATCTCAAGCGTGCACTAATGCCACATTGACGCACTTGCTGTATGCGCATGTAAAAAGTACGCCCTGATGAGTCAAGGTGGCGGCCGCCCGCCAGCCACGAATTGGGCCCAAAGTGATAATTCTATCACTGGACCGTACGCCAACGCCCCTGCTGTGACGGCGCACGGCTGGCCGGTTGGAGGTTACAGACAGCATTGCATGCCCCGTGTTTCAAACCAGGAATATCTCAATCATGTACAGATGTAGAGACCCGACTCGGCAACTCTGACCTGCGTGCAAGCACCTCTGACGCTGTTCGTCCACGTTGTCTTAGCGTGTGCAATAACAATGATACTCTCGTACCAACAGCAAGCTCAACCTTATTGATACTCTGGCTTGATCACCCAAGTCGAAGGACCCCCCGTCTCGCTCTTCTTCAGAGTCGCTATCTGTTTCAGCAGCTGCCTGAAAAGCGCCATGTCTTCTTCCCTCACCCTCTCCGCGAAATGCTGCACAAGCTCAGCCGACGGAGCCTCTCCGCCCCTCTCTTGCAAGAACGTGCATATCTGCCGAATCAAAATCTCTGGCTGCAAAGACCCTCCGCCCACCTTCCGTTTCCCGCTCGCTTTGCTTCCGCCTCTGTTTCCGTTGGCTATACCACCCGCCGCAACCCCCTCTTTTCCGCTCGTTGACGGTTCGCTCTTCACACTCAACCCGTTAGAGGCTCCCTTCAGTGCACTGCTTGGACTTTGCACCATGGGACTGCTTTCCCTTGACGACGCCCTTAACCCTCCCGCTAGTGGGCTCGCGGACCTCCTTAACCCGCCCGCTAACCCCGATCCGCTTGGCTCCGCCCCAGTGTGCGTTTCTTCCGCCGCCAGCCTTCCTTCCCTTACTCTCGCCAACAGAGCGCTCGAGCTAAGCGCCCCCCGACCAGCTCCGCCCAGGCCTCCGGGTCTAGTTAACCCGCCACTTAACCCTCCAGTTCCTGCAGACCCTTCCGGCGACGTGCTAACCCGGGTCTGCTGCACAATCCGCGAGTTAACCGTCGCCCCAAACCGCCGCCTAACCCCATCCGGTGCGCCCGCCGCCCCCGAGCGCCCGGTCCACGTGGGCACTGCCACGTCAGCACTCGCACGTGCGGCTCGGCTCTGCTTCAGAGCCTCCGCGGCCCGTCTAGCGACGCGATTCGCCTCGTAATCCACGATAACGTTTTCCGGATCGTTCGCCCCAACTATCTGATCATGGTCCATCGTCGAATGCACCCCGGTGCTCTCGAAAAGACTCTTCAGAAGCCCGGTTTCTTCCCCGGAAGCTTTAGGCTTCTCGTCGACTGCGTCCTCCCTGTAGAGCCCCTCTAAACCTTCCTCGTCGTCCGACACTTTCTCCTTCCCCTTCCGGCTGGGCCCCTCTAAAGCTAACCTCCCGTTCTCTTCGTCGCTACCCACAGCGCCGGAAGCTCTAGCCTTCCTCATCCCGTTCAATAGTCGCGCCCTCACATTCGGCCCGCGCTCGGCCCGCTCTTCCCCTCCCCCAAAAATCTCACTCGTTTCCGTCCCCCTGCCGGAATCTTCGTCCCCCAACATGAACAAATCCGTCAAGTCTTTGGCCTTGAAGAAGCGCCGCTGCCGGGGATCCCTCAGAATCTTGTTTGTCAGGAAGTGCTTGTAGATCTGACGGTGGTAAACCTTCTCTTCAATCGTCCCGCTGGTTATGAGCCGGTAGACGGTGACGTCACGCTTCTGGCCAATGCGCCACGCGCGCTCGCGGGCTTGCATGTCCGTGGACGGGTTCCAGTCGGGGTCGAAGATGATAACCCGGTTGGCGCCAATCAAGTTAGTGCCTAACCCACCGACCTGGAGAAAAGAAACGGTAAAAACTCACGCGCATGATCAACGCACTGCCAAGAAAGAACATATAGATTCAGGAGGTCGAAGTTACTGCCTACTGCCAGGAATCAACCAAGTTTACTTACAATAGAAGGCAGAATGCGGGTGATCCTAAAGCAGCATTTTGTCAATCGCAGAACCAAAAGAGAGGGAATGGTTGCTTCCAAGCTGTCAAATAGGTCCTCTATCTGGACTATTCTCATCAGCCATTCCAATGCTCTGACTGGGAAGGTCAAAGAAGAGCATCAAGACAAGCGCAATGTCTGTTTGCATGGGATCGATGATTTTCCCGGCCTTGTTAGCCACAGCCACTAAGAAAATCACACGAGTTGTCGACAATCCGCAGTTCAGCATGTGACAAAGAGAACGGAGAATCAAACCCAATTGTTGATGTGAAAAACCCCTCACATTAGTGGTCAAAATAGGGATGAAGACCGCATCCGGTTTGTTGAACTGTCGATATTCGACAAGCGCTACTTCAGCGTGTTCGGCCAAAGCTAAACCGAGGCTAAAAACCAGATCAAATCCTGAATCCGAACCTAAAATCCTCACCTTAGTGGTCAGAATAAGGATGAAGACGGCATCCGAGTTGTTGAACTCGTCAATGATCGCCATGCGCTGGTTGATGGGCGTGTTGCCGTCCATCCGCCGATACACAAACGGCACATTGACCACGAAGTTCTCAATGATGTCGAGCATCTGCTGCGTCTGGCAGAAGAGAAGAACGCGGTGACCCTGCGCCTTCCAGAGGGGCAGAATCTGCAGTGGGACACGGTGACGAAGTCAGCTTAGCACTGACGTCGGCGGATGTAATGTACAGGGTTCAGCATGTTCTATTTCTGGAAGAGGAGGAACGTGCGACAGCACTGCGACTTTTCGAGAGTGTTACGGGGAGACCCGGTGCTGACACGATTTACGTGATGACGTAAGCAGCGACGGAAATCTTGTCAATTGCGAGCCTGCAAAAGAGAAGCAGAACTAAATGCCCTTTACAGGCCCGGGTTGCACGGAGACACAGTGAGGATTGGCATTGAATTCTCATTCGGATCAGCAACCTGGTTGGCAGAAGCTGTAATACCTAAGCATGTGAAGACAACCTGCAAAACTTGTACCTGACCACACGTTTCACTTTGCTCCTTTCAACAATCTGGCAATGTCAAAGCGGAAGCTGCTTTGTTCCGCCTTCCCCTCTTGACTCTCAAGTTCTGAAGAATTGACCCATACCTTTGAAACAACTTTCAGCTTGCCGCTCCGCTCCGGGTTCCCGTAGTCCTCATGCGCCGCCATCTCATCCCTTTCCAACAAGTCGGGATGGTTGCAGATTTTGCGCATGATGTCAATTCCGTACAGCGCATTTCGGTCCCCAGCAATGATTGCCTCGACCTCGTTCGACGCCAGAAAGGAGCGGTAGACACGCCGTTGTTCTTCCGTCAGCGAGACGAAGAGAACCTGGTACAAGTGCAGGAGGTGACGTCAGCATCCACAAGTTCAGAGGTGCATCCCGGATTCCAGCGATAATCGCCTCGACCTCGTTCGACGCCAGGAAGGGCGGTAGACCCGTCGTTGTTCTTCCGTAAGCGAGACGAAAAGGACCTACCAGAATTTACAACAGCCGACGCCAGCACGACATGACTGTTTGACGTCATCAGGCTGGAAGTACCGCGTCCCGATCCTCTCAGAGCATTCCCTAGACCTCATACGACGCTGGAAAAGAGCACGTGGTAATACATGTCAATGTTGGAGGAGTTAATACTTGGGAACAGTTAGCCAATCACATCACTTAGCCGTAACTTGAGGGCAAGCGTCGCTGAAAGGGGAAGCCAATGCGTTGCGATTGCCCAAAATAAGCGCTCAGCATCGTCCCAATAAAAACCAGGCAGATTGTGAAGGTGTCATGTGAAGACACCTTGATCTGCCCTCACCAAAAGAATCCATTTCACAGAAATGGAGCACCCTCGCATCCATGTGACGTCGTGCAATCGCTCTTGCAAATCCTTTCTACTCTCGCTCCGAGCGTTAGAAGTGATAGCCGTTGACTGTCAAAGGTATCTTGACATCAAAGCCGATAAAGAGCTTGGCAGTACGCAAACCGTGTGCATGTTTTCTACGTTTTGATTGGCTTCTCCAGGGACGCTTGATGGAGTTGAATTACGACCTTGCCAAATGTCCTTACCTGTTCCGTCTTCTTCGGAAGTTGCGCTTCTACGTCGGCCTTCATGCGCCGCAGCAGGTACGGCATGATCAGGTCGCGGAGAACCACTGCGCACTTGTAAGCCGTGCTCGCCTGCACCAGTGACGAGTAACTTATCATTGCCTGTTAAAGCATACGCGGAACGGATATTCGGGTTCTGTAATTACCTTAATATTGAATCTAATTTAGGTATCTCCGCTTTCCCCCCAACAAAAAGATGGACTACATCAATAATACTGGAAAAAGCGTCATAAAACTGACATATGGAACCTCATGTGGGTGTTTCAATGCGCGGAATGTTAGCAAACAATTACAGGAGCCAAAAAAGCTGCGCCTTGGAATTACTGGTCAAGAAGGTTGCCTTTTGCGACCAAAAGACCCAACTCCAGTGCATGGATCCTCGAAATCTGCAGTATAAAAACCAGTCCTGAACACACGATTGGAGAATTACATGCCGAACGACCTAGCCGCTTTGTGGGCCACCGCAAGAATCCATGCTCTCTACCGTGGTCTCTTCCTTTCCTCTTTAAAACAACGGCTTTTTGATCCGTCCAAAAACTGGCTTTCAGCACGGACTGTTTCTCGAGCATCATCAAATGCAAACTGGTGAAAACAGGACCTATCTATAGCGTGTTGCACGGCACACCCGCCAAATGCAACCGGCGGGAGAAACTGCGTAGTAGTATCCTGCCTCTTGAATACGAACCAGCAGAAGTGTTTAACCTAGAATTTGGAATCATAACAAAGACTCCACTTATGAAATCAGGAAAAAATCTTACCTGAAGCTGGCTCGCGTTGGCGTACCCGCCAATCGCGATCGGCAGCGCAAACTGCGACTGGAAGACGGGCAGTGTGCCCAGCTTTCCGGGGAAGACGAAGTCGAAGAGCGACCAGAGCTCCGTCAGCTTGTTCTGGATGGGAGCGCCGGACATGACGATCCGATGTACCGTTTGCAGCTGCAAAACAGAATTTTGAGAATGTCAGGTTTTCGCTGGAAGGCTTATGGATGTCATGAATTTCTGATTTTGATGATCACGTGTTGCCTTTGACTTGCGATGTTGGAAAGCGGACTGTGGCAGCTTGTTCTGGATGGGAGCGCCGGACATGACGATACGGTGTACCGTTTGCAGCTGCAAGAACAGGTCTTTGGAGGTTTGATGTCAGTTGCCGCTGAAACGTTTTGGGAGTTGACAATTCCACCACCAGAAGTACATTGTTTTGCGACCTCCTGTGGTAGTGACATACGGAGTCGGACATAAAAATCCCATGAATCTGTGCACCTGCAGAACGCGGATCGAAAGAGTCGTATTGACGTCAACCAGAAGGAGACACATACTGATCAACTTCGAGCAGAGGACAAGAAGACGCCCAAGCTCCAAAAGTCCATCGTAGCCTCTCAAGATCCTGTGAGATTGCAGCTTCCAGATGGAGCATTCCAAAAGCCTATCCCCACGAATAGTGGATTCGTCACAAGTTGCACAGGTTGTAGCTGGCAGAAGTTGAACTGAAGGACGATGAAAGAAGGGTTGTTGTGCTCCAAAAAGACAGTGTTGTAAATGGATCACTCGCCGTTCTCTGCTGCTATGTTTTTTAGGGAACTTCGAGAAGCAATGAGCACCTGCCACAAACAAACGACCACGACGTCAGCTTTCACCCGCTCCCTCACCTGCTTGCATACCAGCGTGATGTCGGCGTCCGGGTTCCGTATCCTATGGCCCTCGTCCAGGATAGCGTATCCCCAGGGGATGTCCAGCAGCTTTTCCCGCTGGATCCGCAGCTGCTCGTATGACGTCAGCAGCAGCCCGTCGGGGCGGTTCACCGTGGCAGCAATTAGAGCGTCCCATCTGCGAAAGGCGAGGTTTCTCTGTTTCATATCTTCCTTTCTTAAGCTAGCTTCTTCTGTTTTGTTGCCGGTGCAACCGGCCCGAAAGGCATGGCGTGTGTAATAGAACAGCTTGCGGATTGTCCTTCATTTGAAAGGGATGCTACTCAAGTACTCGTACCAACACGCCGTTTGGGCATCAATTAATTATTTTTAATTTTGCCCAAAAAAATTCAATACATTCAATACCATTATATTTTTTCTGCCCAAACATTTCAAATGAACCAAAATTCCAATATTTGATCTTTGACGTTTTTTGGCTGGTGAAAAAATGGTTTTCTGCATATATTTTAAAAATTTCAAATTTTCCAAAAATTCCAAAATGAGTTGCCCAATTTTCAGAACGTACGTAATTGATTATTGGGCAAAAATCTGCCCAACCGGCGTGTTGGTACGGTAGCGTGGGTGCCCAAGAGGAAGGTGTGGGTTTAGTTTGACAATCAGACAAGAAGAGGCGGGTAAAGTTCGTCATCAATGACCACACGGTTTTAGCCGACGAAAGATTTGACTCAAATCCGCCATCGGCTATTATTCAATGCGTCAAAGGACTTGCGAACCATTACCTGTGGCTCTTTCCAGCCTTGGACTTCGCCGTCTGGATTTCCTCCTCGCTCTCGTTCTCGTCGTCGCTGCTCCGCGGATCCTCTTCATCTTTCGGAGCGCCACCAGATGGTGTTGCGGAGTCGTGCAGTATGGCGACCTTGAATCGCGGATACCTGGGCGGATGGTGGGGATAAAAACGATTGCCGGACATGCGGCAGAAAAAGGCAAGGAAACTAAAGAGATGACCACGTGATCGAGCGCCAGGTCTACCACCACGTAGAGATTGCGGAATCGCATTCAATTGCCATTTCAAGGAGCAGGACTCTGTTTGGAGAAGGTACTCCAGAAATCTTTGAAGCTGTCAAGCGGTGACAAACCGGGATCACAGCTCCCAGAAGCAATCGGGTTACAAACACAGGTAAGCTCATTTCCGCGGCTCTTGGATCATACAGAGCACTAGTGTTACAAATGTCCCGCCGAAGCATCAGCGGCAGCATTCGACAGAAGCCATCAGTCATAGGTCTAAGGTTTCGCGTCGACCGAAATGGCTGAGCGCTCATCTCCGGTCCTCCGGACCAATGAGAACGCTTCAATCGATCACGTGGCATGAGGAGTACAGACCTGGTACAGAATTTTGCTAGAGAGGCAGTGTACAAAGCTGTACGCGGACCGGAGATGCAAAGCTTGTGAGCCCAGCAGTTTTCGGACACGCGGAACCTTAAGTCCTTTCACCTCCTCGTTCTAGTGTCATGCAGAGCAGGCATGGACCAACGGGCTTGCTCCGGATTACTTTCACAAAGGCGTACTTCAGCCAAAAGCACAAGCAGCATTAAGAAGGCAATCAAGCTCTAAAGAAGTACGACTGAATGACCGGGAAGAGCACACTCGTTTAGACTGAAGTAAGTTCGCCCGGCGATATCAACCGGAGCGAAACAACTCCGCAAGCTTGACACTTACCACGCCTGCACCTCCCGCTTCCACTGCCGGAGTAGAGTCACCGGGCACACGACGATGCTCGGTTGGTACAGCCCCGAGTAGTGTAGCGCTCCCAAAAAGGCGACCAGTTGCACCGTTTTCCCGAGGCCCATCTCATCCCCGATGATCCCCCCGGCTTTTTGGCAGTGGAGCTCCCATAACCACTTCACGCCCGTTTGCTGATACGCAAACAACCGGTCGTAGATGCCCCCCGGGATGCGCAGGCCCCCTTCGATGACGACGTCGGGTTTGGCTTCTTCCAAGGGGAGGAGCGCGCCGGCGTCTGAAAGGGAAATGTTGAGAATGTACGTTCTCAACAAACTAAAGAAAGGAAATAGAACGGCTGGAAGAATTCGTTCACAAACACACAAAAAGGAAGCTGGTTCCAGTGTTTCAAAGCACGAGTTTCTTTGAGAATTAAACATAAGAATATCCGCCATAAGCACTGAAACGGATCCCAATACGTAGTTTCAAGATGCCATCCGACCGGTCCGACGACACCACCCTTGGGACTGCATCGCGACTTGTACGCTCAAAAAGATCGTATATTTCAAGATCAGACTCCGGGCGCCTTTTAGGTAAGTGACCTTCACATGCGCTCCGCACGATAGGGGTGAGACAACGCCAAACGGAGATGTTGAAAACGAGAGTTTTCAAAAGATATCACGACCAGCAGACTACAGACGATACAAAACGCCCGAAGGTCGTCAAAAAGCCCTGCGGGACTCACCGGCCTCGTCCGAAAGCTCTTCCTCATCACTCCCCGGACTCCACTCTTTATCCGTGCCCTCTTCCTTCTTAACCTTAGCCAGTTTTCTCCGTCTCTTCCTTCTGCCCCCCTCAATATCCCCCTCCTCAGAAACCCCCTCGTCGCCCAAATCCTCCAAACCCGATTCCCGCTTCAGCCGGAACTGCGCCGCCGGAACTGGCCGCCGCCGCCGGAACTTCTTCCCGCCGACGCCCTCCTCTTTCTCGCTAATGCGTCGTATGTACTTCTGGTTTTTCCGCCGGAAGTCCCGCGCGATCGGCTCTTGCTTTGGGACGTCGCCGCCCGTCAGAACCTTGATCACGCCCTTCGACTTGTAGATCGCCTCGTTCTGCGCCGCAGTGCGTGCGATCGCCTGTTGTAGCCGCTCGTCTTCGCTGCCATTCTCCCCGTCCGAACCCCTTAACCCTCCAGTGGTTAAGCTGCCCGAGATTCCCAGACCTTCCGCGCCCGCGCCAAAGTCCTCGATCGCGCTTCGCCGCGGTGCTGTCAGCAGTTTCTGAGAAGGCCGCGGCTCAAAAACGGTGTCGAAATCATCGTCTTCGACAAAACCATTCCGACGCCGCTCGAGAGCTGATGACGTCGCCTTCGGGGCGGATGACGTCACCTTCTTCTCGTACCCTTGGACGCTGCTGAAAGGCGTCAGGACGCCTGTCCGAATCAGGCGGTCCCGTTCCTGTCAAGGATGCAAGCACTTCTTTCGGAAAACAACCAGACAGTCCCAGTCAAGTTCGCAGTTCGCAGGTTCTTTCCCAATACATGAATCCGGAGAAGATCAGAATCCGAACCGAGACAGAGATGTCCAACAAGCATGATGTCCAGACTCTCAAAAGCTGAGAGAAGTCAACCGTCGTCTGGAAAGGTCCCACTTATCGACTGGAAGACAACCGACCTTGCAAAGAGACCAGATGTTTATAACCGTCCAGCTCCACAATACGAACTTACCATTGTGACAACTCAACAGTCATGAGACTGGGTACTGACTTCAAAAGAGAGAAAGCGGGGAACTCAAAAGTCCAATCTCCCACTAAGCCTGCAACCTGCTGGACGAAAGTACCCTCACTTGTACCTACCGTTTCGAGCATCCCAGTTGCTTCGCCCAGCCTACTCGCCGCCGGGCCTTCCTTCCGCGGCCCTTCCTCAAAACGCACCCGCTTCTTCCCCCTTTCTTCGACACCCCCCTCCTTCTCCCCCAGACCGCTCCCATTGAGCCCCATCCCTGGTGCTCCCTCCCTGTTTCTCCGCTTCTCTCCGCTAAGATTTCGAGCATTCCCTTCTGAGGATCTGGTTGCTTCTGTGTCTTCTAGACCCTCAGCGTCGGAGGATTCTAGCTTAGCTAACTGTTCTCTCAGCTGGCGCCGTTGGGCCTTCAGGTCTTGCAGGCGCTGCGAAGCGAGGGCTCTTTGAAGGGACACTCCGGCTTGAGGATCTGTTTAAAACGCAGACGACCATTTCAGACCCAGAAAAGCATCGCTTGGCGTAATCACACCTTTGTAAGACTCATTTCACAGATCTTTGATTGTTCATGGGGCCTCAGAATGACACAAATTTCATGTTCACAAGGTTCTAGTAGACTTAACGAGACTAAAAACTCCAAGATGCCTTCAAGTCAATCACGTTCAGATCCATACAAGAGCTGGAAACGCAAGAGGGCTATTGTTGGTTTCTTGAAGATGCGCTCTTGAAAGGATGACCCAGTAAAAGTCAATAAGGCACCGGAAAGGAAAGCTGAGATCTTGAAATTTTGCAACGCAACACGGCAGACAGTATAAAGGGAGTACAACGTACCGCCAATAGAATTTCTGAAGGAGCGAACTTCGAGTAATCAGCAACGTTGACTTGATTACAGACAGTTCTTTTTTTTTCTGGCAACCACCCTGGAGAAGAGATAACCAAAACGCCGAAAATCCTTTAGCATACGTAGGGCCCGCTAGTCTGCAAACTGGTCGAATAGAGCTGAACACAATCCAAAACCATTGGCGGTTGCCCAAGCAGCGAAAAGGAAGAAGCCGCCAACAGAGAATGGAGCAAGCACTCTCACCCTGAGTGGCAGATGGCTTTTGCGCCCCATCTTCCTGCGCATGATCACCTTCTGTGCCTGCAGTGTCAACTCCGGCTGTGCCAATGTCCTCTGCTTCCACCTTGACACCATCTTCAGCTGCCTCATCCTCCAAGCCTGCCCTGACTGCCGCGATCTCCTTGCGCAGCACAGACAGCTGCTGCTTGATCCTTCGTCTGTCAAGCTCGCCACCGGAGACTCCCTCCTCCTCATTGTTCTCCTCGCCTCGGACCTGCTTCTCAGTCTCTGCCCTCTCCCTCTCCACGTCTTCTATGACCCGCTTGGTGACATCAGCCTCCGCAATAGAAGTCACTCCCAGCTCCGCTAGCACATCAGCGTCAGTCTCCTTGTTACTTTCGCTTGTACTAGTTCTTCTTCCGCTCTGAGAAGCCTCCCGTTGAAAACCAGCCGGGCCGCCAGCTTCCCTGCTGGACTTGGACTTCTTTGCGTTTCCCTCACCTGGCCCCACTTCGGTGTCAGAGTCTTCAATGAGCCGCCACTCCTCCTCACTATATCCCCTATCCATGATCAGCACCTTCAATACAAGGGGTTCACATGTACAAAAACCGTCCCACTCGAAAGCGTGCTCTAGAGGACAATCTAAGTTGCTAGATCAATGGCCTCCGGACTGACTCCTCAGCATTGCAACATGCACTGCAGCAGCAATCTTTGAGATCGCAACGCTCTGTCAAGCCGAAAATCCAAATCCACACCCCATCAAAGCCTCTCTGCGCTCATTCCTCCTGCTTTGCTGGCTGGCTTTTGACTGCGCGTGCTGGCAAGCATGCATGCAGAGTCACAGGAACGAGTCACACCGACGCTATTTGCTCAGGAGTTGGAGGCTTCTTTTTGCGGAGCTAGGGAAATTCGAGATTTAGGGCTTTCTCACTTGCCGCTTCCTTTCTTCCTTTCTCAGTTTCTGGGCGAAGCTGGCGTTTCGCCCACGAGAATGCTTCCTGCTGACACTGATTGTGACAGCATTGAGCGGGATTGAGCAGGGTACAGCATTGCCGTTCCAGAAAACACTGTTGCTAACGATGGCGCCAAGCACTGCCACTGGTTCAAGGGGTTGTTTCAGCGGTTGCCTGCTGGACCTCCCGGAGGCGATTCTCTTGAAGATCCTGAATCATCTGCCAGCCACCGCAGAACAAGTCTTCAAGTATCGGGGAGTCTGCAAGCAACTCAGGACTCTTTCCAAACAGATTGAAAAGCTGCAGGTCAGTGTCGCAGAGAACATCGACCTTTCATCAGAGGGGACATTGGAAGCGTTCTTCGACGCACTGATGAGGGAGCTACCCTCGGTGGAGAAGCTACATTTTGAGGGGAAAAAAGGTCGGGAGATTGGTCTTCATGACCTGGAAATGCTGGCAGGAGGCTGGCCTCAACTTGAAATGTTAGAAGTCCCAAATTTGGCAATCCTAACAGGGCCAGGAGGTACCCTTTTACAGACGCTAAGAGCATTGTCGCACTTGAAAGTAGGCACGTTTTGGACTAGATATCCCTTCAATCTGCTTCTCCAAGTTGCCTGCCCTAACCTGGTATACCTGGAGATTGGCGTGCTTGAGGTGGATACCACGGGACTGCTCATGGAGGGTACATCCTTGAAGACACTTGTCATTGAACAAGTTGTCTTGATTGATGGGGAACCGCTTGAGATCTTGACTCTTAACATGCCAGAGCTGGAGACGCTGATCCTGCAGAACTTCAATGGAACTCTCAAGGTAGAGACCCCGCAGATGCTCAAGAACCTTCGGCTTTGCCCCGGGGTTGTTCTTGAAGCTGCATCAAGGAGAGACTTTAAATCCATAGAGGACTTATCCATAGGTCCCATATCTGGTTACTTCGAAGAACCAGAAGATGACGAGATCATAGTCTGGGCCCCCATTTTACACCAGGTGGTGCACCCTTTTCCAAGATTGAAAGTTCTGGATCTCCGCTGGCCCCGGTGGTGTCTGATCGATGGTCACTCGGAGCTCTACTCCGGTGTCAAGGACTACGCTGGCGAGCAGATCTGCATAAGCCAATGTTTCAAAACGCTGCGGCGCTTGGAGCAGCTGACAATGGACGTTGCCGTCTTTGAGATCTTCACCGCAACCCCCGGATGCTGGGTGCATCAACACCAGATGCCGCGCCTCGAGACCTTGTGCTTAGCTTTGCCGCACCCCCTGACGGGGCGGTGTTTCAAGACCTTCCTTTGGCTCGTGAGCAATGCGCCGCTCTTGAAGAGGCTCGAGTTGCATCTAGGGGAGTTTGTGCAAAGGGACATGGTGGTGTGGCTGATGGCGGCGCCCACAAAGTACCCGCTGCTCCAGATCGTGACCCCGCAATTCCCAGGTGAGATTGTGTATCGGGTCAGTCTTTTGCTTGCATATACCATGTGCATCGGTTTGACTCATTCTGGCATCCCTTATGGTTGGCATCCTAGTCACTCCTGGAGTTACAGATTTGGCTTCCTTGCGAGTGGCCTCCCTGTTGTCAAGGGGAAATCGCGACTTGGAAGTGGACTTCGATTCGAGGAAAGTTGACATTGCAAGAAAGCAGATTATAACAAAGAGGACTTGTAAGTTCTGCTCCCCAATCTGCTCTCAGTACTTAGGGCTACCCCTGAAAAAACACGGCTGATCCGAGAGGTACTAGTGAAAAGAGTAATTTCTAATTGAAAACCGATTGCGTCAGCACGCATCGGTGCTTACCCTTTTTAGATCGGATCATAAGTCTACTTGTCTACTTGTCCGATTTGATTCTCGAAGGAGCATCCATGACTGTACTCGTTTGCCTAGTTTGCAAGCGTAATATTGGATAGAGCGTCCGTAGCAAAGCCAGCGAGCCTCAAAAATAGCATTCAGTGCCCATAGAACCTATGAACACATCCTTGGAAAGAGACAAGATGAGTTTCGGGCAGCCCCATGTGAATGTCAAGTCAAGTAGTCATGCCAGAGTTGATTGAACTCCCGCAAGAATAGAGTTGATCGTTGACCACCTTTTTCCCCTTTGTGGTTGCAGTGGAACCAAACGTGTTGGAGTTCCACAAGCTGTTCGACAGCAATCGGTTTCGGGATTGACCATGTCAGCCAGCCTCATTGGAACCTCTCGAATAGTTGCTTGGCAAATACGAGCGAGCATCGGGTGCATGGGATGAAACAATTGTAGTAGGGTCCGTGTCCGAAGATAGTCCGAATTCTAGTGGCGTGCCCTCTCCCCCAGATATCTGCATTGCTTGGAGCGGAAATTGCTTACTAACGAAACGGTTTCATTTGCTTCCGACGTGGAAAGGCACCGTTGATCAATATACCATTTCGGCTCCTTGTGTTGCAGCGGCGGCCTTTCAAGTTTGTCGTGCTCAAGGTGATGCATTGGAACCTCAGCTAGGGCTCGCAACATATGATTCTAAGGATTGATGACTCGGAACGGGCCAGAGTTTCCGGTTTGGGTCGCCATTCAAAGGGTCCAGGTCCCCGTTTTCCTTCAGCATCTTGAGTTGGGTATGGACCGTATGGTCGCCGCTTGATTGAACGGTGATAGAATTATGTCTTCATTGTTAACTTAAGTGTTATATGATCGTCACTGTACCAGAAATAACAGATTTCGTGTCTAACATACTAATAAAATACCAAGCTAGCTAGCTGGGTAGCTCGTATTTATGTAATCTCGACTCGGTTATATTCGGCATGCATTTGAGTGCATGACTCATCAAAGCTATCATTGATCGGACCATCCAAACGAGCTAAAGAGTTTTGATCGGATCGGATGATCCGATGATTCCGCGGTGGCAACAAAGCCCCACACGATCGGACCGTCCATCGAGTCCACCAATGATGCGTAATTGATGGTGTAGTGGCCGGCTCATGCATGATATCATAAGTTCATTTTGCGATCAAGATCTGATGACCGCGGACGATCTGCATCTTCGCGTGCCTAAAGTATCCAACCCCGAGTCCGGTCCGCTCACTGAGTGCATGTGGTCCGGAGCTTCGACGTCCTATCCAATCTGTTATATATTGTATGATACATGCATGGCATGTACTAACGCATATAGCTTAGTTATTGCAAAACATACATGATATCGAACTTTGGCCGGCGCTTCTGTGTGTAAGTCTGGTCGATCTTAATCGATCATGCCAGTGATTGCAATCGATTGATGTATAGTCGATCGGAACTGAATGATTGCATGGGACGGGGTTGCGCGGCCGCCCAGGCCTCAACTCAGCGGATTTTATTCCGCGGCTAACTATCAGTGTATGCGCTGAGTTCCAACGATACTAACTCATTACGCATCGCATGCATGTGAGTTAGGCATGGCGTCGAACCCCGGCCCACTATTTTTTAATGTACTCTTAATGGACGGTTCTCTAGACGAACTCAGCAATCTTCAATTTGCAGCTTAGATTGATCGTATGATCACATGTCCAACTTCAGCTCGGCCGGTTGCGATCTAAAAGATGTCTAGGTTCAAGTCAACATGGCTCTCAACTGACCGTATTGTCCTCATGCAAGAAACGTCGATCAACTTAGCATCCTTTGTACGTTATATGCATCATCATTCATTTGATGGCGGCCACCTCCGATCAAAAGCTTATGCCCGAGAGCCCGAGGTCAGCAAGGAACGTTTTGAAGCGATAAGCAAGTACCCTCAAGTAGCATGCAGTTACAGTATACCACTATTTGCAATAGCTAGCAGCTGGATCATAGTCGGCGGACGTTGGTAAGAATCGATCTTCTAGTACATTGCATAGATCGGATGCTGGTTGCCTTCATTAACGACAATGACTAAGCGATGTCGTTGGCACTCGGGTCGAGTCATGTGACCAAGAGACGGTGTCAATGTGGCCAGGCTGTGTCTCGAAACCTCTTGCCCTGCGCTGAAGGTGTGTCATTTAGGGGACGGACTTTAATGCTGGAATGCAATTATGCAACTGGTTCAAAGTTTGGTTCGAAGTTTGTATCCGTCAGCTCTACGTCACAATCAGCAAGTTAGTACTAAGGATTATTTAGTCCTGAAATACGGACATTCACTTCTCTTCAAGTGTCAACGATCCACCTGAGAACAGGCGCAGCACTTCTGTGGTGACGATCAAGCACCCGCAACGTACGTCTACAACTCGCCTAGCCTTAACCTACATCACGAGTCTAAGTCGCCGAGTGTTAGACGTGAGTTTTAACAGGTAACGACGCCCGGCGCCTGACGGCGTTCGCGGCGGCACCATGAAGCAAACGTCCGGGACCCTATCTCCCTTCTCGCCTCCCCCGGTGTCTCGTCTGCGCGTCTCCTCCTTCCACAAGGCTCCGCTCGGACACCCCGATCGCGCCATACGGACTCCCGACCAGCGCGGCCCGGAACGACGACTCGTCGGCATCTATTAACGCTGCGGCCGCGTCGCCCGTCCGTCGCCGCCCCCGCGCGCCTGTGAGCGCGCGCTGCTCCTCCACGGCCGCCGCTTGCAAGGCCGTGCTCGATTTGGGCGTCAGCCCCGCGTCCTGCATGCGGGCTAGGCCCTCGCTGTAAAATTCGCGCGCGATCTCGGGCCAGTCCTGCGGAGGGGGGGAGGAAATGTTAGAGATTTATGAGGGAAAGGGTGGGACGGATCTTCAAATGAGAACCACTTTGGACGAAAGAAGAGCCGACGGATACTGGCCAAGCACTCGCTGTAGAAGTCGCGCGCGATCTCGGGCCAGTCCTGCAGGGGGGCGGAAAACGTTTGCGCTTTATGGGGGGAAAGGGTGGGACTCAAATTTCCAAGGGAAGAATTTTTGGACGATCAATGAGCTGGCGCACAGAGGCCAAGCCCCCGCTGTCAAAAGTTGCGCGCATTTGTCGGGGCAGTTCTGCTGGGCGGGGATCGGGGGAGAAGGGGACGTTAGCGTTTTCGGCGGGGAGGGGTGAGAAGAGTGGAGTGTAACAACACTCGCGTGGGGGATGCTGAAGCGAGAGGGACGAGGTGACGCATGCGGGGCAGCGCCTGGGTACAAAAGTCGAAGGCGATCTTGAGCCAGTCCTGCGGTAGCGAGTGTTGCGACGGAATTTTTGAAGATCTGAACAGAACGGCAGGGCGGAAAACCTCAACGAGTGCGACGGGCTGACGCATGCGTGCGGGCCATCTTCTCTTCAGGTAATCTGCGTGACTCTCGAACAATCCGGCGGAAGGGCGGGAACATCTTAGCCTTCATAGAGTTGAAAGAGAGGAGCGAAACGACAATATGAGAAAGGCTTAGCAAGGATAACGATCTGACGCAAATATACGAGCAAGGTCCTCGCTTCGTGTTAGTCGAGCGCGATCTCGGGGTCAGTCCTCGGTCAGCGGAGTATGTGTGAAAACAAGCGCTTCGATTTTGGAATACGATTTGGAGCACACTCCTGACTTTCCGGGACCGCGGGAAATAGTAAGGTTCGAAGGACCTGAAAGGAAAAGCCGCGGGCACTTCCGGCCCCGACCTGGGCGGCGGGGGATGCAAAGATTCAGAAATGAAGGGCGCAAAGACGCAATTCGAGCAGAAACCAGGTCAAAAACAGACGCTCATGGGAGGGCCGTGATCCGCCGGGCCCTCGCTTGGGAAACCGCATCCAGATGTGGGCCCTTCCTGCGGAGGAGGAGATGAAGTTCTCGAGAGGAGCAAAGCGGAAGGAAAGTCGGAGGAACGGCGAATGAGAAGCGCGAAAAAGAGAATGGATCTGAACTTGGACCCGCGCCGCCAAGTCACGAGTCACGTGGCGCAACGTTGCGGGAGGGAGGTTGACTTGATCAAGCTGGGAAGAATCTTGTCACATCGAAAAGGAATATAGGGCGCGGTGGCGTCGGACTCAGATTCTCCTTGCTCGACCGACCTGAGCGGTCAAACGTCAAGAAAAACATTAACCAGAACCAAAGCACGAGCGGACTCTGACCCCAAAATACTTGGATTCTTTCTTGAACTAGCCCAACCATACCCATCTGCGGAGCTCAGGAGTCGTCCAACTCCAACGCAATGGATACTCGAGCAGAGGGCCCATTCAGACCCACCTGCAGGACCCGTTCCAGATTCTTCTTGCGCAGGCTTTACAGCTCGCGGACGGAATAGAATTCCAAATCGTCAAGCAAACCGAATGATATCGAAGAATGTCGATAGTGATAGCGATACGCATGGAAAGAGCCTATTCACACCCACCTGCAGGACCCGTTCCAGGTTCTCCTTGCTCCGTACAACTCCCAGCCAGAATCGTCTCTTGAAGATTTGGAGTGTGATATCTATTCCGAACGAAGCTCATGCAACACGGTTGATAATGGGCCTATTCACACCCACCTGCAGAACCCGCTCCAGGTTCTCCTTGTTCAGGCTTTCCAACTCACAGCCAGATTGACTCTCATTAGGGTTGTTGTACCATTTACGAAGAGCCCATGCAACACGGATTGAAAGGGCTTATTCACACCCACCTGGAGGACCCGTTCTAGGTTCTCCTTGCTCAGGCTGTACAGCTCGCAGTACGTCTGCGCGGTACAGGAAGCGCTTCTCCTCATCCCGGTGATCAGCGCCATCTCCCCAAAGTACTCCCCCTGTTTCTTGACAAATGTTCCAGCGCGCGCGCTCAGAACGTGCACGTGGCCCTCCACGATGAAGTACATGTCTTTGCCGATGTCATGCTCGCGCATGATGAAGTCGCCGGGGCCGAAGTACTCGGGGCGCAGGCAGAGGACCAGGGACGAGATGAACTGGGGGGGCTTCCCGTGGAAGAAAGGGACCTGGAAAGGAAGGTTAGGGATCAGGTTAGGCTGGGCTTCCCGGAGTTTGAAACAAGTTTGCTATTGGATCCGGAAACCTCCTGTAATTGGTCGAGAAAAGTTGGAAAACGAAACTACTCGGGGCGCAGGCAGAGGACTAGGGAGGAGATGAACTGGGGGGGTTTCCCAGAAGAATGGGACCTGGGTTACGACGGCTTAAGCGTGGGCTGTGAATTGATCTTTATCAAGCTATACAAAGATGTAACCTAGATACAAAGTGAACTTCAGTCAAAGACTTTAGGATCAGGAAGGAGATGAACTGGGGGACTTTCCGTGGAAGAAACGACGGTTAAAAGGGGCTTTAGTGCGATTAGCCTGCACTTTCCGACAGAAGCTGCTTGTAGGCTATCCGAAAGGTTGAAGCGCAAGGGAGTTGGCGTGCAGACGAAAGAAGTTGAAGTGGGGATGCTTCCAGTAGAAGCTAGAGTCGACGACCGGGAGTTCAAAGCGGCTGCAGGAGCACTTGACCTGAGGTGTCTAGAAAGAGGATTCAATTTCGACGTACGTGGATGGTAGATGGTTGGTTAACAGAAAATGATCGGAGCAGAGAATATATCGATCGGCCCTCTTACTCCAGATCTTCTCAACCTTACATGGCACTCTGTACTCAATACCCAACCTTAGGGTAAAAGGGGTAACAAAGTCGTTCTCGCAGTGTTGAAAACATAATGCAGGCAATGAAAAGGTTTGAAGGCAGATGGGAAAACGTCACAACAGGGAGAAAGACCCACCTTTTCTAACATGTCTCTATACATGTAAAGCACTACGTCCGTTCTAAGGCTGGCGTTCAGACCAGTAATGATCATGTTCTCCTCGCTGTGCACCTGCAAAGCACAAACTTTGAACTTCAGGAGAAGAAATTCGGTCTTTTCTGGGTCAATCACATTTTTCGCTTCTATCCCTGGACGCCCATGCGATTGGCAACAAAAGACATGGGTTGTTCTTCCCGAATCGTCTGAAGAAGGACGACCGAAAAGACGTCAACTCGAGAGTATTCAATGTCGTCCTCAAACCTAGGCGCCTGACTGGACCATACGCTGTAATTTGCGCGGAAGCCTATGCAACCGCAGCACTTGGGCGGCTCAATCTGATAGTTTTTCCGGCAGCAAATTCAAGCCAAGGACCTACACCGTGTTGCAACGAGGGAGTCCTTGCAGCCAGCGCACAATCCAGACTTTGCAGATTGTCAAACCCCTTGATCGGAGATTCCAACCCCAGAAGGCTCAAACCCTTTAACCTTACCCTTAAGCGAACGGAAAAAGCTGAAGTCCTCATTTTTCTCACCTGGTGCCGCCACAGGTAGCGGTAGTAGTCCCGCACGCGCGTTTGGAGGTCTTTCGGGATGTGGCGCGAGCGCAGGAACGAGTTGACGCTCTCCATCTGTCGCTCCTGGCGCGCCGCTTCCTGGTCCAAGTTCGCTACCAGCACCGACATGTTACCTGACGTCACGTGAAAGAACAACGACGTCAGCCTCCACTTCCTTAGGCATCGGAAATTTTGAGTGAAAGTTTTTTTGAGCACAAGAGCAAGAATGAGTTGACGCTCTCCATCTGCCGCTCCTGGCGCGCCGCTTCTTGGTCCAGGTTCGCCACCAGCACCGACATGTTACCCGACGTCACGCAAAGAGATGCTGACGCCCATGCCTTTTCAGAAAGTAGGGTCTCAAGAAGGAATGCTTTTGGTGCTCGAGCAATGGCTCGAATGATGCTCTCCGTCTGCCGCTCCTGGCGCGCCGCTTCCTGGTCCAGGTTCGCTACCAGCACTGACATATTACCTGATGTCACGCAAAAGATGATAACGTCACCCTCTGTTCTCTGGAAATCGAAACTTTAAAGAATGAAGGTGAGCGCGGTAACGAGTTGACGCCCTCCACCTATCGCTCTTGGCGCGCCGCTTTTCGGTCCACATCCGCCGCTGTAACAACTGGTTACTTGACGTCAGTCAAGACAAGAATGACGTGAGCACTCCATCTCGACGTCTGAACCTTGAGTAAGAATCTTCGATGCGCGAGCGTTTCGAAAGAATTCAAAAACCTCCATTCCGCTCCTGGCACACCTTCTCCGCCACGTACGTTCAGGTATGCCACCGGCTTCGACCCAGAGCTGACTTCACACATGGGCAAGTTTGACATCATAGGGGAAGTTGAGATCATCAGAAAAGTACGGCGCAGAACCAAATTGACGCTTTGAATTAGCGTCGCTGCTGCAGAATTATGTGTCCTTTTGTCGGCAGAAGCGACCCCAGCAAAGAAAAGGCCGATGAAACGGAAAAAGGTGACGGGACCTCCTGTAAAATCGCTCCGGGTTTTGGGCGGGAGAGAAAAACATTTTCTAAGGATTATGACTCCTCAGTCCAAAGATCCAACTACGTTTGCCCTCGTTAAACCCAAAACAATAGCAACCGCTTCTGTCCATCTGAACACAAACTTCCAAAAATGAGGGGCTTACCAGACGCGGGCAAAAGCGGATGTAATTTGCCTGATTAGAGTGGACGCAACTAGTGTAGAAAAGATGGTAAAAGCTTTCTGTGTAATGAAGGGAGAGCCTCAGATTGCGAGCTCGCAGGATCAATCAAACGTGTCCAACTCACCCATGAAGTACGCAAAGACGGTCGCCCCAACTAGCATGGCGAAGATCGTGAAGATCCGCTCGAGCGTCGTGTTGGGCACGACGTCCCCGTAGCCCACCGTGCACAGCGTGGAGAAGGCCCAGTACAGGCTGATGACGTACTTGCTGAGGTCACTGTCGTTCATTACCCCTTCCTGCAAAACCATTCCTGCTGCTTTCAGCTGTTGCGTTCAAGACACGTTCTTGTTTTGAGTTCCCAAGGTGCCTTTCATTTTCCCAGGGATCCTCCTTTCCCTTCAGGGATGCACTTCTTCGTATACCGTCGACTAATTCGGTTCCCCAAAACTTCCGGTCACGTCATCGATCACGTCACTGTCCCTTCAAGGTTACTGCCCGCGGAGACGTGTTCCTTTAAATTCTCAAATATCACGTTGTGGCCTCCTCTGAGCGCGGTCAACCTTACCGAATCCGTCTTTGCTTTCGGAAGTCAATACGGATGCCCCCCTCATTTCACGTTCTTGGAAGAGGCACGAACAAAAATGCATCCTCTTTTCACGTTCTTGTTTGTACCTCTCCCAAAGTATCTCAAAACCCAAAGTTACCTTCACCGCTGGACGAATTTCACACGTCAAGTAGTCCCTCAGCTCTTGAGGTTCCCGTTCACCAAAGCCTATAAGCTATAAAGAAGGCTGCCGGCAGGCTCCCTCCTGAGCTCATATTACAGGTGCAAGACGCAGAGCGATCGCCCCAAAAATTTGCAAGCTAGGAGATTGTAGTGATAAAGTTGGCCCACCTGAGCCGGCCATGACTTGGAATCAGGTTATTGCCGACAGCCTTGAAGCAGAAACAGCGCGAAGTCTCGTTCCCTCCTGAGCTTCAACGCAGTTCAAGCGCCCCAGAGGACTTAGTAACTCGAATCTAGACAATAATCAAGAAGAAAGAATCCTTACCTCAGCAGGCCAGGACCTGGGGTTCAGATTGTCGACGACAGCCATGAAGTAGAAGAGGCACGCGGTGACGTGGCCGATAACAACCATTAGCATGAAGAACTTGATGATCGTCAGCAGCCCGTGTGGCACGTGGTTCTCCAGCGCCTCGAACGTCGAACTCAGCCGCAGCACCCGCAACTGGGAGCAGATTCGACGTTAATAAGTTACGCGAAAGGGAATTCAAAGCGGCTTTTGCAGTGCGGGATGATCAGAGTAAGCAGCCCGTGCGGCACGTGGTTCCAGCGCCTCGAACGTCGAACTCAGGCGCCGCACCCGCAACTGGGAGGTTCGACGTTGATAAGTTACGCGAAAGAGAATTCAAAGCGGCTTTTGCAGTGCGGGATGGCAGAGTAAGCAGCCCGGCGGGCACGTGGTTCTCCAGCGCCTCGAACGTCTAACTCAGCCGCAGCACCCGCAACTGGGAGCAGAAGTGCTTTTTTTCACATCAACACCCACAGGGGACGACAGCTCACGTTGTCAAGCGGTAGCTGGTCTACATTTATTGCACTTTTGCATCGAAAGAGTCTGCATTGCGTCGCCCTCGATTTAACGGAGACTAAACCCTACAAGAGATCCAGATTACACAAGCTTGATCATCCCGTTCCGTCGGTATGAAACAGGATGATTGCACTGTGGCAAGACGGAAAATCAAGCTGGGTGAATCAGTGTGACGCAGAGGCGAAGGAGGAGAAGATTGGTTTTGCCTCCTTTGTTGACGTTACATTTTTCAAAACGGTAAGGCTTTTTTCCTTTTGATCCTCTTCGCCGAAACCTTTACCGGGTGGACCGGGTTGACCGACGTCGAATTAGCCAACTAACCCCCCTATTGAACGCAGCAAATTCCCCGCGCTTCGAAACGAAACAACTGACGCTATCCCAAACCCTTTAACGGAAAAGTTTCACGGGGGAGGACATTCTAGTTGCAGATTGGGTGAGAAGCTCACCAGTTTGACGAGCTTGTTCAGGCGGAATATCTTGAGCAGCAGCGGCAGCCGTTGCAGGTTGTGGTTTGCGCTGTTGCTCGGCACCATGAAAGCGAGCGGCATCACCTGCGAACGAAAGCCCGCACTTAGGTCACAATATGAGTCCGCGGCCCGCTTTCGACTGCCGTTTTCAGGACATGAGTGGCACAAATTTGGAGCGAAGCAAGTTACCCTATAAGATGCGGCTGTTCGGTTCACGCCTTGCTGTGGCTCGTCGTTCCAATGGCGAGTTGGAGTGGATCTTCACTGAGTTGACAGCTTTGCGTATGGCCATTCAGTTCCGCGCAAAGCCAACTACCGCACTGCTTCTCTGTCTGCTCACCAGTTCTCAGAAACGACAGGAGCATCAACCATTCTGACAGGCGGGCTCATTGGGTCGCTTATGGGAATGACGAGTTCGTTACGATGCCGCAACAATCCAGAAAAGGTGTCTCGCAAGGCGGCATCAGGAAATGGAAGCAGACGATTGTAGAACGCCCTTCTGACAACATGGAATAGGACAGATGGACAGATTGGGGAGCCAGAAAGACCAGATGGGAAGAGAAACCCCGACGGGCCGGAAACATAACGGAAACAACAATCAGAAACAACAACGAAATGGAAACGGAAACGGAAACGGAAACGGAAACGGATCAAAGAACGGAAACGAAGGCAGATTCACTCACCGAGATCGCGTCCAGCACGAACCACGTCTTGAGGTAGTGCACCGCGATCTTCTTCTGGTCGCGCACCTCCTTCCCTCGACCGGTTGTATAGGTCGACCGGAAGTTGACTAGTATGTCTAGGAAAAAGACGACGTCGAGTATCCAGTTGATCGCGTACAGCCCGGGCTGGTCTCTGTGATCGCTTGAGATGTTGAACGCGACCGTGTACGGGACCACGATCACGATGTAGACTAGACAAACCTGCGAGACTCGCGAAGGTCACATTTTTAGAATCCGATCGGGAGTCTGAGGTTCTAAAACAGGAGATGTGCGATTCGTTTTTCATTGACATGTTCGTCGCTTTGCTTTTTGAGATGTTGAAGGCAACCGTGTAGGGGACCACGATCACAATGTAGACGAGACCAACCTGCGAGACCCGAAAACAATCATTTCTTAGTACCTCTGAGGTACAATCTGAGCACCTCTGAGGTTCAACATTCTGGAAGTGAGGAGATCTGGACTCGATTCTTTGTTAATTGATATGTTTATAACTTTCTTTGTTGAGTGTTGAAGGCGACCGTGTAGGGAACGACGATCACGATGTAGACTAGACAAATTCGCGAGAATCGAGAAGCTCGGAACTCTTAGCACCTCCGTAGTTTGAGGTTCTTAAAGTGACTATCTTTGTTAGGTCGCGACCTTGTCTAGTGAGTTGTTGAAGGCGACCGTGTAGAACACGACGATAACAATGTACACTAGACAAACCTGCGGGACTCGAGGAAAACACAACCTAGCACCCCCGAGGTTTGAGAAACCGAGGATACTTACAGTCGTTTCTTCGTTGGTTCGTTCAAAAATTTGTGTTTTAAAATGTTAACGCGACCGTGTAGTGCACGACAATCACGATGTAGACCAGAGAAAATCTGCGGGCTCAAGAAAAGCATCAAATCAGTGCTCGAGAAAATATACTTAACCATTGCTCGACAACACCATACTGACGGTGCTGGAAATAACCACACAGATTCAGCGCTCATCTCCGGGGTATAGGGCTATGAAACTCATGAGGGACCGACAGTTTGTTGTGACGTTCACAAGGCGGTCTTTTAAAGTGTTGAAAACGACAGCTGTGTGCGTAGCGCACGATCGGATGAAACCGTCGCAATGCTCAAGTAGACCGAGTTGTAGCCCTCGACTGAATGGACTCAACTGGTAAGCTCAAATTGGAAGAAGTAGAATAACCGACGTTTCTGAAGAGACCCACCGTCAGCAAGAGGTCCCAGGACTTTCGAAACCGCCCGTCCGCCGAAACTGGTCGCAGGAGGGACGCCAAGTAAGTGTTCTGCTGTGCCTTGACCTGGTCGATGACGATCTGCAGCGGAATGACAGAGCGGAAAGGAAAGTGAAGAACGGAACCGTAGCACGTTCGGTGGATCTACAAGTGGCTCACTTCGTGTCTGGGGAAGGACGTTCGCATCTGATGTTGGACCCTGCCCGGAAGCCCCGTATAGGCGACCAATCGATCACCATTCCTTCTCGTCAAAAGCATTCAAACTACTCACCTCTAAGAATGTTCTATAGCCGCCATCATGCGGAGAAGATCCTACCGAAATAAATCGTGGTGGCCAGCAAGATAAGGAAGTTTTCTAGCAACCTACGGGTAGAAGCCTGGGTGTCCCGACAAATCTTGTCTGGTTAGGAAAATTGCTGTCTAAGGGAGGGTGGGAGAAGAAGCTAGCAAAGATGGCTACGGGGAGTCGGACGCCACAGCGTCGGAATTGGCTGAGCTGCAAAGACTGGGCCTCCTTGGGGCATCGATCAAAACAACTCGAGACGGGAGTAGAGCCTCGCGGTTTGCAAGCCACGTTGGCTGAGTTGCATGGAGCTGTTGCATCGATTGGAGACCCGTTTGGCTGCCCGTTAAAGAGGCAGACCACTTGTCCACGATTCTGCCAACGACCTAGAAGCTGGGAAAGAGGCCGAAGCAAAGGAATCCTCACCGTCCACTTCACTGCGGTCTTTCCCATCTGCTTGTTCCTGACCACCGTGTGCGCCGCCCTTCGCCAAAGCTCCTTGAAGTTGAGCTTCGACTTCGTTCCCCTCCGCAAACCCAGCAATCTCGATCCCCCCGAAGTGTGAGAAACATGCTGCTCTACCCCCCGGCCCTCCCTTGTTGACGCAGCCACCTCCTCATCCCCCCCCAAAGGATGAATCTTTGCGCTGCCTCTGACCTGGAATCCTTTCCAAGAAGACGTCCGCCCCTTCCCCGCTGCATCGGAAGAGCTCCCCGGTGAGTCTTGTGGGGGGTGTCCGTTAGGCGTGCTGGCAGCAGATGAATGCCCCCCCTCCTGGGGCCTCGGCAGCCTGCTTTTGGTGACCCCCGCAGGAGGAGACTCTTTTGGTACCCCCCCCGGCAGCGGGGTTCCCGACGGAGTCAGCTCCCCAATCGGTGACAGGTCCCCCATTGAAAAAGTGAGCTCCTTATTTGGCGCTTTTCTGATCGGGGGGAACTGCCCCGGATCCTTGGCGCCGCCGCTCTGGGGGGACAACTCCTCTGCCCGTTCCGTCCCCCCGCTGCTGACCGACAACCGGCTCTCGCGCGACGACAGGCTCTCCCGTCGAGATGCAGTAGTATCGGAGATTCTGCCTCCATCGTTGCTGTTGCGGCGGGAGGGGATTTGGAAGGCTTTGGAAGCACCGTTTGCGGTGCGAGGGGCAAAGGGAATGCGGTTCTCTAGCAGGATGCGCTTGAGGGTGGCGACCTGGTCCCAGAGCGCTACGTTCTCAGAGTTGACCCTGCAAAGTTGGTGTGAACATGTCAAGGGTCTGAAAGGTGTGGAACATTGGGGATCTTTCACTTTGCTAGGAACAGCTTCGTAACACTCTGCCGCCAGGTTGCAGATTGACAAGGGCTTGCTTTCTGCTGGCTATTTGCTGCTATAGGAAGCTGTAGGTGTAGCGCGGACTTTATAAGTGGTAAAATGGGCACAGTGATCAGATATCTTGAACGAAAGGATTGGGATGGGAGGTGCATAATGCAGCTGACTCAACAACCATAAACCAGAGACAATACACGTGCTTGCAGCTATGTCGACTGCTTCAGATCAGTGGTATCCAGCAGCTGCTAAAAGGTGGTAATGACTCTGATTCAGTCGGCCAGGCTTTAATGCCTCTAATTCATATGACATTTTACCTATCTCCCCCTCTTCTTTCTTAGTTGAAACGTTGTATTGTTGAACAATGTGCAAGAGCAGGCTAGATACTTGTGAAGGCTGTTTGCTTTCAGAGGATCGAAGAGTTGTTGGTGCAAACTGCTGGTCATGTGCAGTCGACATGCTGGAGGAAGCTAGGCAGGCCTTCGTGCAGAAGTGGAGCCGCCTATGCCAAAGCATGCCCAAGCTATCTCCTTCCCACTCCTGCTTCTTCATCATCTGCTATACCCAAAAGTCAAATCCACAAGCGCGGAGTTTTGACTCGCTTTCCGAGCTGTCAAAGTGGCCAGTCAGGCATGGTAAATTGCTGTACAATGGACGAAAGGATGGACACTAAAGGTACTCAGGTGGTGCTGAATGCATGAAGAGAGCCATGCAGGTATAGGAGACAGCGGGTCACCACTGGATACTCATCTGCCATGTGAACTTGAGGAGGTATCACTCACTTGCTGAGCTTTTCTGCATACAGCAGGTTCTCTTTCCGCAGGCTCTCCAGCTCATCCAGAAGTCTTTGGTCCCCGTCAGCAATGTCCCGGTGGAAAGCCCCGGGCAGGGGTTCTTCCATCAAGAGACCCTAGCATTCCTGTTCAGGGGGGTGAACATCAAGCTCAGGATGCACCCCCCTACTTGTTTCCGAATCAAGTCTCTCACAAGCGAGATTTCTCTCGTGAAAGTCGCACTTTGAGCTACTGTTGCACCATCCCCACTCAATTGTAGCAAACCGATGTCCCGTAGGCAAAACAATTCGTCCTGCAAGTCAATGCTTTAACTGCGAACCGTTTGATAAGCTGATGGCCTGAAGCAGTACATGGACCAATGTGCACAATCCTGGCGGCTCAACTTGTCACAGCCACCTTTTGCCAGAAGCATGCCCGCCCCTTAATCAGTAGACCATGTGAGACTTCTCATTCTGCGAGGGGCCATCAACGTTGTAGCATGTTTACTTTTAGCCCTTTCTTGTTGAGCTACAATCTCAGGACAATCTCCCGCTTTCTCTTGAGCAGTTTACCCTGTTCCAAGTTTTTGATCCGTCGTGATCAAGCTGGATTCCGAGAGAATCTGAGCAGCTCCAGAATCGAGCTCCTTTTCCGGTTCCTTGCCTGCGGCTGTAGGCAGGCAAACGGAGAAAGAGTGCACCTCATGCAATCGCAGCTTGAAAGTAGGAGAGCTCTTTTAGAGCTGGCGATTAACGAGTTTTATTGTGCTTCGCCCCGTTTCTAATCTACTAAGCTGGACTGACTTTTCAGAGCCTGCCGCAATGGTGACCTTGATGAGAGCGTCTTTCATGTTGACAGCACGTGTCAGAAGCAGACACTGAAGCGCAGCCGGCCCGAACCGAGTCCGCTGCTGACGTACCAGTCCGACAGTACTGCTGACCCACTGTTGTAAATTTTGACTCTTGAGAGGCCGGGCTTTCGAGGACATGTCATTCACTGGAACTAGGTAGGCTCTATCTCAACCTGACATTGAAAATAGGACTACTTGCAAGTTCCAGCAATTTCCGAGCAATGCATGTACCTTTTGGAAACTTGTCAGACTGTCAGGCTGTAACCAGCCGTCCAAAGTACTGTTGGCCGTGGCCCTAATATAGTTCGGTGCAGGATTCGACATGGTCAGCAGGCAATATCTCGCTGCTCGTACCAAACAATTTTGTAACGCGCGCGCACATTGTTTTGGTGAGTAAGTACCGTCCGATGAGATGAAGAGTGCCGATAGCCACAAGGTCATGGAGCCGGCCGGCCGCGCAGTTTCGGTGCTAGTGTGAGCGGGCCGCCCTGCCTGTCGGACCGTGGGGGACGGCGGCCGCCCCACGCTTTGCGAGGTCAGTGACCTCTGAGACCCTGGCTGACTGGCTCTTGGAGCTATCAGCCAGTGATCGTGGCGAAAATAAATCTTGGATTACACTAAATAGGAGCTCCCAGACACTAATTGGCGAAAATGACACTAATGGCGAAAATCCCAGCGGCACTTGTGGCCGGTAGAGTGTCCCGGCACCAGAAATTCTTGTACCGACCAAGTTTTTTCGTTGTCTCCGCGGAGAGTCAATTGACAATGTGCAGGCAAAGGTAAAGTACGGGGTTCTGAGCAGGGTTCAGATTCGTCAAAGCGGGTGGGAGCACCCGAGCATGTAAGAACTGGCTGACGGCCTGATGATTTTCGCCAGGCCGGCGAAATTCCCTTCCCAGACACTAAATGGCGAAAATCTGGCGAAAATCAAATTGGCGAAAAGAACTAGTTTCGCCACGAACATTGCTATCAGCTTCTATGCATGAATACTGTCGCCAGGGGTTTTTGACATGATGTCTCATGGGTCCATGTTGGTCGAGAAGAGGCCGGCCCTTTTGCTCTACAAACGTACTCCGGCAGTGACCCAATGAATGGAAAAGTACACTCTTGGGATTCAAGCCTTTATAGAACAGAGTGTACTTGACGGTATATTTGCATCGGCTTATAAACCATAACTTGCACGATGTTGCAATCTGCAGGTGATCGAACTCACCTTTCATGCATGCCATCACTAGACGCACACATGTAGAAAGCATTGGCATAGGAAGAAGTAGCTTAATTCCGCCCCAGAGCCCGGCCTCATCCGGTCTACTTGCCGCGCCCAACATCCAACCGCAGATGCAATGACATCGAAGAAGAGCACCGGCTTTAAATCCACATGACTCAAACACCCGGCAAGAATCCAGGTCGAAAACTGTTCCAGCAAAGATGCGCAACGACCTAGGCAACAGTGGATTGCTGCTGCTCAGGGGGGTACTCAAAGGTAACCTCCTTTCCAGTAAGCTTCTTGTACACCCCCCCGAAAGTCTCTAGTTTGTACTCCGTCGTGTTCCGCTCCTTGGGGTCCAAGTAGACCTGCAATCGAAGAGCGTGATTCAGCAACAAGCTCTACAGAAGTTGCTGATCGGATGCATGGGCGGGAAACTTCAAATTTAGCGAGTAGACAGAACCACCGACCTACTCTTTGGGCATACTAAATGCAAACGGAACGCACAACAAGGCCTTTTAAAGTAGCAAACAATCTAAGACATTCACAGTTCCAAGACCCGAGAACAAAAAAGACCTAGCCCTTCAGCTCTAGGACCTCAAATGTAGTACCTTGAGGAGGCGGGTGCCGTCTAGGCGGTATCGGATCCGCTTGCCGACGATCTCGGTGGGGTAGACCAGGTCCTCCAGGATCTGTTCGTGGACGGACGTCAGGGTGCGGCTGCGGGGGCGCGTCGCGGAGGAGCCCTTCTTCGGGGGTTTCATGATTCGCCGGGTGCCCACCAACACAACATCCTGCAGACAGAGTCGTGAAGACGGCTTCTAGCTCCGCAGCACAGCCACGGCCGCTCGTAGCGTATAAGGAGAGTTCCTATCGACCTGTTATCCAGGCTACGCCGATGACTGTTCAGACACCAGGGACTCGAGAAGAACATCACTCCACGTTGGTAATGCAGATAAGAACATCCGTTCTGCTAAAACTTTCTCTCAAGCTCCCGCACAAACCTAACGTGCCTCTTGCCATGCGCCTCCTAGAAACGGGAAGCCCATTGGGCTCCTAAGCTCTATATTTCTGGAGCCCGAGGGCGCCGGACCCCTTGAATTTCATGTAACTCGAACCCTTCACCTTGCCACTAAATTCTTATCAAGCTCCCCCACAGCCCTGGCCTGGATCTTGAGGAACGAGTATTATAATCAGCAAGGCGATTGACATAAAGAGCTGTATCCACAAAATCAAAGCCTTAAAAAAGCATGGACCCGAACCCCTCACCTTGCCGCTGAACTTCTTCTCCAGCTCCCGTACGAGCCTGGCGTGGATCTTGTGGTAGGCCTTGAGGAGGCGGTAGGGCACGTGGATGATGATGGCCTTGCGCTGGCTCGTGATGTCGATCTCGCGCGCGGTGTTGATGTACAGGTCCTTCAGGTCGGCCTTCAGCTCCTGGTTGGTCGCCTCCAGGTCGAACAGGGCCTGGAAATATTGACACTATGCTTCAGAACAGGGTACCTATCAAATTGCATGGAAAGCTGTGTGGAACCAAGTGTCAGCAATTCCGCCTGGTCTTTTAGGTCGGCCTTATGCTCCTGGTTGGTCGCCTCCAGGTCGAACAGGGCCTGGAAATATTGACACTGCCCTTCACACCAAGCCAGGGAAAGCAAAAGTGTACGGGAAAACCGGCTGTCAGAATGTTCAAAAGTGCCAGCAATTTGATCATCCAGGCTAATGTTGAGCTCATCATTGATCGCCTCCAAATCGAACAGGGCCTAAGAGGAATGAAAACTCTGCTTCACAACGAGGAAAAGGTTGTCGGGACAGAAAGGAGTCCTTCGTGGACTCTAACAACCCATTGAGGCGGCTTGAAGTCGGTTTTGCAGCATTTCCAGTGCAGGTACATATGAAATACGTGTGGAGGTTTACAAAGCTTTCAAACCACTCCTGTGATGCCCTTTGGAGACTCAATAACCTCTCTCTTCCTGACCCTTATGATTTGCTCCAACAGTGTAGGCCGTGAATTTTAAGCCCCACACTTTCTTCACCTGCTTTTCTTGAATGTTAATCAGGCACATCGCAACAGTCGTGCAACCAGGCTCAAGTGCAATTGCAAGCTGCGGCTTGCAACCAAATCCACGATCTCTAATGTAATTTATGAAGCTTAGCTTGTTGGAATCTCGCACACTTGCAAAGGCAGTGAGGCGGGCTAAGAACCACTTCACACCGTTCGAATGTGCTTAGCATGTGGTCGAGGGTAGGGGCACACCAAGAAGAATGGAACGGTTTAATCCCAAATCCCTTAACTGGCATAGCACCCGTACCTGACAACCAACTTGACAGGAAAAACAAGGTCCTGTGCAAGGGAAACCAAAAAACCCCCTTCAACTCTTGCAACTTGAGAAAAGCCGTTCCGAAATAAAGAGAAGGTTGAAAAGTCAACTTCTGGTTCAGAATACAAACTCAGAATATGGTTGCTCCAATGGATCAGACTGACGTGCAAATTGTCGAGATCCGCAGCGACTTGCGTGAGCAAGCCCTTGGTAGAGAGCGACAGTTCTCATCATTCCGTGGATACAACACTTGCGCCACCCCAACAACACTCAACTCCTATGAAACGTCATTCAAAATATGGTTGCTCCAATGGATCAGACTGACGTGCAAATTGTCGAAATCCGCAGCGACTTGCGTAAGCAAGCCCTTGGTAGAGAGCGACAGTTTCTCATCATTTCCGAGGATACAACACTTGCGCCACCCCAACAACGATCGACTCCTATGAAACGTCACACAAAAGCAAAACATTTTGTCCTCCAGCATACATACAACACAAGGGCTGGCTGGTGGTAATAACCAACACCACTACAAATACTCGTTCCGCATCTAAACAGGTGATCATTTGCTTCCCGACACAGACCATGCATTCACCAAAACAAATTCTTTGAAGGACAAACCTTCAATGCAAACTCTGTCGGTGCATTCCGCAAAAGGTCGCTCTTGCACGTGCCTGTTTGCCCACTGCTCTTCTCCGTCAACCCTTACAACCATAAGTATCCTACAACAGCAAAAACCAAGCGTCCTGACAAGGAACACATGTGTTGCATCCAGCGGCTTACCTGGGCCACCGACTCCTCAAACTCATCGGGCTCCTGGCCCTTCTCCTTCTGGATCTTCCTCCTTGCCGTGAACATGGTTGCTGGCAGACGTCCTGAGGAATCACACAAACGCACCGTCAATTGCTGGTGGCAAGCCCAATGAGGAAAGTCCTTGATAACAGAAGCGTGTGTCCATCCAAGTATTCCTGTCCGTATCATAATTTCCAGGCGGACACACAGCTGAGTTCACCAGATGCATTTGCTGGAGCCAGGAACACTGCATTGGCGGTGTCAATGGAGCGCCGCCATAGTCAACAGACAACCCTGAACAAGGGACTGCGAACCAAGCGAGGAACAGCGTCTGCAGATTGCGCAGCTCGCTCGGTTTGGCTGATGAAAACTATGACTAAAGCTGCTTGTCGCACCTCGCTTTCCAACAATCTGCAGTGACACAACCTAAGGAGCTGCTAGATGTCGCTGTTCAAGGTTGGAGCCATCCTTCCCAATCCTTCAGTGTCTCTGCTCTAGAGGTAACGGTATTCGTCCCAACAGGGATGTTCCAATGCCCCCACTAACCAAACCCAACAAATGAGCCGAGGAAATTAAAGGCCACTTCACTTGACCGATGCAAGGCAAACAGACCAAGGCGCAGTTGCCAACTACAGACTTGTCGCAAATCGCCATGCCCTTGGCTTGCAGTTGCCATGCCAAGTATGGTGTAAATGCCCCTCAATACTGCGGCATCCGCAGATAACCATTACCACTAAGCCTGATGATTCAAAGTCGATGTGGAGTGGTCTCTCAACAGGCCTTTCAGAAGCCTTGTCGCAGCTGCTCTCCGTCCGCTAACTACTTGATGAAGGCACTGCCACTTCTACAAGCTTTCCTTCAAAGTATGTGCAACCCCATCAAATTGTCGATGAGTGTTCCTTGGCAGTGCATTCTACAGCTAAGTAATCCACGAAGTATGGTTCCCCAATACAAGCAAACACTGGCTTGCTGCGGGGATACGGGCCCACCGTATGTATTGCTGCCTCCATCCAAAGCTGTCTAAGAGTCATGACGCAATACAAAACTCCTGATTGATCCCAGGGCAATCACAAAGACCGAGAGCGCTGGCAGGAACTACCTTTACCAAACGGCAAACTGGCTAGACGCTACCCTTCCAAACTTCAACTCCAGCTTCCAGTCACTTCTGCAGCTTTCAGGGCACCTGCAGCCCCCTCTAAGAGCCCAGCCCTAGACGCTGGCAACAAAACACCAAAAGGACTTCTTGCCTACAAAATGTAGCGACGCCCCTCAACTGAGTAAAGGAGCCCCAAGCAACCATTAATCCAGCTCAAAAGCTGACGTCCAACGAGAGGGGCAGATGGCACGGAGACAAGATGCTCCTCACCTCACAGGGAAGACCGCCTGTGCACCGCTTGCCGCTGCTGGCGATCGGCCGCCCCTTGCTTGCCTGGTCGCCGGAAAGAGGAAGAAGACGGCTGGAGGGAGGACGATGATGATCGAGCTGACGCGCGCGAGCGCTCAACAACTTGCGCACTTTGAGCAGTCTAGAATGTAGACGTCAGACTACGCTATTGCAACTGCGCGAGCTTGCATTCAAGCTCGCGCAGCATGTTCAGCACAGAATCCAGCACAGCGTGCAGCACAGGAGGACGAGAAGAGAGACCAGAGAGCTCTCTGTTCTTCAGTTCTCTTCTTCTTCAGGTAGAAGCGCTAGTGTGACAGCAAGGGAGATCAAGCATGCACTGCTGCTGCGACTGCTGATCAAAGGCTGCTTCGGAAAGGCATCACAGCTCCAATTCTTCCATGTAAAATTGAAGATTCGCTCTTTAGCTCTTTACAGTTGTTCAGCATCTGAGTAGTCAGAACAGCAAAGGGAACGCAATTGGTCCAGAGAAGACCCCCCTCCAGGTCATGCACGCAGGCGGTCCGCAGCGACCGGCATCCAGCAGAGGGTGCTCCGGGTTGATAGGTTTGGCACTGGTCGGAAGTTTGGCTGTTCTGCTTCTAGCCTTTGGTTTGGTTGGGAACTCTGGGAAGAGCAGTCCAATGGCACAGAGAGTTCCCATGCCGGGGGGTCAGGTGGATGTCGGCGGCAGCAATGATCCTGACGCGGAAGAGGTTGGGAAGTATGTGGTCTCGACAATTGCCAAAGAGCAGGTGCGCTGTTTAAGTAGTGTTTAAATGGTCCTTACATTTGCAAGGAACTTTTCAGGCTGTTGTTCATCGGTGACGAGAGACCATGTTTCTTTCTTGCCAGAGGTTTGTGTCTCCGTGCAGGAGGGTTTTTTGCAATGTAAGTCTTTTTCAGTGCAATGTTAGAGAAGAAGATGTGAAAACTACTGGACTCTTGGTGTTTGAATGATTTAAAAGGCGTCATGCGCAGCGCAAGGGCGAGTTCTGCTTGGCTTAGCCGCTGGTTTTGTATGTTTGCTTTTCTTATTGTCGGCACGGAAATATTAGCATTTTGCAAAGATGATTCTGCCTGGTTGTCCGAAGAGTTTCCGTAAGCTTTGGCACAGAAAAGCTATTCCTTGGAAACGAAAAGCTGGGCTGTTCAGGTGTCCTTGATTGTTTCTTTCTGCAACTTCTTCGGCAGGAGCTCAATGCAATTGATCTTCTACTGTGACAGCGGTCCAACTTCAAGGAGTGTAAGTGGCATGCTGTGCATTGGCATCGACAAGCGATGCCAGCAACCAGTCACTTGGTTCTGCCAGGATTCTTCAAGCGTAACAGCCAGATTTTGGAGGATTGACGCTTCACCACTTCCTTGCAAGGAACGAGGGGTTTTTTCGTTTTCAGGAATGCACCACAAAACTCCATTGCATGCACGCAGTCGTCCAGATATAGGAGGTACTTTGGCAGTCTTTCTATAGATAACAAGATTGTTGTACCCTCTGCAGACTCACCGACCTCACGTCCGTCCTCGAGTTGTCTGCAACCAAGCTAGTGGTAGCTATGCACGCAGTTGTCCAGCTAGAAGGTTTTTTGCCCCTTGTACCTCTTGAAACGAGATTGTCGTATTCTGTGCAGAATGCGCCCGACCTGAAGTTCGTCCGCGTTGTCTCTGCAACCAAGCAAGTGGTGGCCGGTCTCATGTGGCGGCTGACTGTGGAGGTGAAGACGCCCGTGGGGCCCGCAGAGTACAAGGCAACGGTGTACGAGCCCCCAGGCCCTGATGCAACCAGGTAATTGGCAAAGTTTACTCTTGAAGATAGTGTTTGTGTGTTGCGTCCCGAGAGTATCGGAAGGGGGGCAGTGTTTCTATTTTCCCGGGCCTTGGAGAAGGGGCACTGTTTTTACGAAGGAAAAGAGCCGAGCGTAACGAGTGCCTGAATGTGCGTGTCTTTCCTTTTTTGGGGGGGTCGTAGCTGGGCTTTGAACCCATCCTAGAGCGCGCATGGTTTATTGAAGTATGCGCTACTGATATGCACCTTCTGGTTGGGCGCTGGCATCTTCTCGCTTGGAAAAACATTCGGATATCTTGTTAGCCATTTGGCCATGACGAGCTACTACTGGGACACAGTTCCAGGACTTTTTGAGGCTGCTCCGATGCCAATCGGTTTTTCCGACTGTTCTTCTCACTTGAAGGCACAGGAAAATGTCTGTGGGTGTCTTCCTTTCTGGTCGGCTCTGTCGATACATCGATGAACGTAAATGTCCCGTTTCCCTTCTACAACAAGTGTCTGCTCTCTTCCTTCAAGCGAACGGAGTCCAGCAAGTGGACGGACAGAGTCCTCAACGCTTTTTCTTCAGTGCAAGCAATGGTTGGGCGAAAGCGCTGTTGATGTGGCATGTTTGCTCCCCTTGTCGTCCAAGTGGTTTCCAGGAGAACCCAGAAATTGGCTGGCAGTTTGTGTTTCCTATGGCTGGCACTTATCGTTCTGCGGCGATGGTGCTTCATCTGATATAACATTTCTCGGTTCTGCTGATGCCAGCAACACTGACGGTTTTCGATTGCAAGTTGTTGATGGTTTATGGAACAACTTTCCCAGAGTCTTAAAATGAAGAAACATAGTGCTTGGCGTTGAAGTGTGGGTTGAAGTTGCAGCTCCTGTGAAATAGAGCTGGTTGCTCGAACCTACTTCACATATTTTGTTGATATCTTTCCTGCCAATGAAGTTCCGGTGCCAATGGACATTGGCACCGTCTTCCCTCAAGATCAACGCCGTTATGCTTTGAACGTGGCTGTTTTCGACTGCTCATGTTAAGAGACGGCGCTTCTGATTGTCGAGTCTGCTGCCTTGCACGGACCAGCCATCCTGACATTGCTTTTAGCATTCAAACTCTGGTCTGATGCCGTGAGTGAGGTTGTTGGGGTCTCTTTGAGGTGGATAGCTTAGTTGTAGGGATCTCTTTGTATTTGTCGAGGTCAAGCAGACACTAGCCCCTCCCCATAACGTGGGGTTTGAACCCTCAAGGGCCATGCTTCCAATTCCAATCTAGGTAATTATGAGTTGAACTGCCCTCGAATACTAGTGCGGTTAGGCCGAGGCTGCCATGGGCCTCTTGGTAACAAGGAAAGGGTCCCCGTCGACAGGCCCTTAAGACCTAATACTGAAAATATTGCCAACGTGGCAGCGGCAGACCTGCTTTGGAGGTCCCTTTGTCGGAGCCATATGAGGAGCACAAGCAAAGGAAGCAAGGGAGCGCCAGCCTGCGACGGGGAACTGGGAGATAAATTGTTGGCAGCCGGAGTTTCACTGATCAGCCTGGGAAGTTGGTCTTAGTTCACAGCCAATGTCCATCTTTGAGCGTTTATCTTGCTAGAGCTATCAGCTCGAGCTTGCTGAAAGAAGAAGAAAACAGACTGTCCGACCAGCGCAGCTACCTGAAATGTGTTAGCCATTTACGGTCTTTGTTGCACTGCACCTTCACACGTTCACCTTCTGACTTCCTCAACGTGGTCTACTTTTCGTTATTCCGCCTTCGCTTGGGACGGCCTGAGATCCTTGAACGGCCTCTGCTTTGGGTTTCCTCCCTACTTGTTGACTTTGCTTGAAGTCGCAACGATGCTTGGTTCTGCGTTTCGTTTCCTGGAGACTGGAAAGGGTTCACGCAAGTTGGTGGATCTCTTGTGTGTTCGACATCAACCAAGCTCAGGAGTCGTTTTCAAACACTACAAGGTTGTTTTGACATATGTGAAGCATTCATACAACGGATTGGCTATCATGCACCAACGTGGTTGTTCTCTACGTCGCTGCTGTCTTGAAATCGGGCTATGAAGAGCTGTCAATTGGGCATCTTCCCATCGGTGAATGCAGGCTCCTCCGATGCCTCCTAATGCAGCGATCTTTCACCTAAACGAAGGCCTCAATTTGTGAATTCCTTTCATATGCCTTCCTAGCACCCGGACTCGAGCTGGTGTGGTTTCACGGGGAACCCTGGCTCGGGGGTTACTGCCCACCTTTCTCCCTGCCAGGGGAAAAAGTAGAAAGGGTAAGAAGAAGAAAAGAAGCGCTTCTAGCGCGCTCTTTTGGCAATCAGAATCACCCCCGTTGTCTAGTGTGATCGATCCGATTTGAACCTGTACTCCAGTTCAGCAACTAGTGTCTCTGCAGCAGAGCTGCTTTCTTCCACTGGCAAAGAAAAAAGGCGGCTGCGTTAGCAGGTTCGCAACTGGTGTGTGCTTTGTAAACGCTTCTTTAGCAGTTTAACAGGTAATGGGAAGCGGAACCACGTGATCCGTTTTGCAACGTGGCGTATCCTCACAATGCTTGAACGTTGCCCTCTTTCGTATTTCTCTGCCCTTGCGTGTCTGTTTGGCTTCTTCATTATGGTAGGCAGTCCAGCAAGTGGGGCTTGTCAGAGCCGTCCACCTAGAAGCAGCTGGCGATGACAGAGAAGCAGTTGAGATGCATTTCCTCATCGATGCAATGCTCCAATCGGAGCCAGAAACAAGTCAAACCAGTTAGTGACGCCTCGACTTGAATTCTTAACTGGCTGCTTATGTATACTGCGCTTGTTGTGTTCGTTTTGAGTCCTCCAGACATCATCCTTTTCCCTTCACAAATCCAGTAGATTTTGCCCGTCCAAACGCACGAACCTTTCGGAACAAATACCCTGTTGTCCGGATTGTGGGCAGACATAAATCATGTCACGACCAGTAGGGCAGACTCCATGCAAGGCGATTCGCGGCTTTGATCGAAGTGGAAGTTTAGGCTCAAGTCCAAGTCAGGAACTCTCCCACAGTCTATAGGCATTCCCATTCTTGAGATGTTTTCTGAAGCACATCAGAGACATACGGGCTCGTTCTGAAGTCCAGCCACAGCGGAATATTCAAAGGCACCAATGTCCGTCGGATCATATGTGGTTGAGGTCTAAGCTTCGCCGAGGGATGCTTTGCAAGTTTGTAAGCATTCCTGCAGGGAGATGTACAGTTCAGGCCCGACGTTCAGACAGGCGAAACGTACCACGTCACCAGATGAAGTTTTTGTGACTCACCTCTGCGAGTGGCGCGTTCTTGAATATCACTTTGCTAAAACTCGATAAAATTTCTGCAGGTCGCTTGAGAAGTACGAGCTGGTTCCCAAGTCCAGCCACGGCGACTCCGATGCAACTCCATCCGATTTAGGCGCGCACCTGGGGGGCGCCAGCTCAGCGGACGCTGGCCTGCGGACCGTCGATCCGGAAGATCCTGCGGTGGAGGATGCGGCACAGTTTGCGATCAAGCAGCTTCAAGCGCGGTCCAACTCGTTGGTGAAGCCGGAGCTCAAGAAAGTTAAGGAGGCGAAAGCTCAGGTGAGGGGTCGTTAGGTCTTTGTCTGTGTTTTCGCACTTTGTAGTTCGTCGTACGCTGTGGCGGATTGGTGGAGCTGTCCATCCGATTACCCGTTGTCAGGCGGGCCCATAGGAATCATTCCGGATTGAGGATACCGTTGTAAAATCTGCTTAGTCTGTCGGTCCGTCCGTTCGTTTGTCGGTCAGTCCGTCCCAAGAGGACACTACTTTCCACTGACACGCGCGCTGCTTCAGCCACAATTAATGAGCTGTCTACTGGATGCATTCTTCAGATTGTGATTCAAGTCATAACTTTGGTTGGCTAAGGCCGAAGTTGATAGTGTTCTGCTCTGCCTCGGAGGGTCAACAATATTTTTTGACTCCAATTATCAGAACCTACTGAACTTGGAACAGCGAGGATTTTGACTATATCCTCGCTCTTGAGATTGAGTACGGAGGTGACGATCGGCGCAAGGATCAATTGCCAGCGGCGAAGGTGACATAAACGTCTTTCTTTGCGTGCATCTCTGTGAAACCCTAGGTAGCTGGAGTATGTCATTGGATCTAAACACTGAATCCGCTCTCGTTCTTTCCAGGTGGGGTCCAAGTCGACGACGTTCCACCTCACGCTCGAGCTGCAGCACGGCAACCGGACGGAGACAGTGCCCGTGGTGGTGGACCGGACCAAGGACGGCAAGTTCTCGCTGACCCACGCGGGGCAGCCGGAAGAGGTGCGGCACTAAAAGGGCTAGGTTCGTCGAAAGTTCGGAACTAGCTTCAACAAAATTGCTCATTGTCAAGTCGGAAGATCTTCAGAAAAGCTAGCGACTGCCTTAGTATGTGTGATGGGGACAAAAGTGGGATTACAGCGTGATCGAAAGAAGTGTACATATATCCAGTGACCTTCCTGCCAAAATTGTTCTTGTACGTTGATGCTTTCAATTGAGCCCAATCAGTGAGATTGACGGTTGTTTGAGTGGGCTTCAAAAGTTCTCTGGTGTGTGCATGTGCATTGGCGAAAGCGCCTTCAGCTTTCGACATGTATGCAGAGACAAAGGTCTCATGGCATCTGGTTCCCCCGAGCTCCGATTTAACAAACACTCGCTTGTGAAACATGCGGGCCTTTGGTTGCGACTGCGTCATATTTTCACGGGCGCAGCATCAACACATCGTCTGCTACGATCTGCATGGCTTGTCTCGGTTTATTGTTAATTCTGATTCTGTGAGTTCTGGCGAGTCTACCACGAAAGCAAGGAGGAACCGAAGGTTTGAGAGACCAAGTCTCATCCATGGTAGCTACCCTATGCTGGAGTATCTGCACTGCGGCACCGTGTGCGTGTTTTCTCAGGCCTCTAGTGCCGTAAAATCCAAAAACATCTTGACGCGCTCACTTGCAGACTCCATCTTTTGAAGGACTAGCTTTAAAAGTCGTCGATTTTGTGTTGGTAAGATTTATGGCGCGCTTCTGGTTTCGAAGCTTCGTCAACATCATGTTTTCGAAGCTAAAGAAAAACCTGTGTATTTGGCATGTGAGTTCTGTGCTGGTCTATAGCTGGAAGAGCGTGAGCCGGTCCGACTTGAGCGAGACCTCGGGACGAATCGATGCTCATGTCTGTTGTACAGATTCTTTCTATTCTGTGCCATTACTGCAGTGCCTAATGTGTGCGCCCCATTTCTTTGTCCATTGTTCGGAGCAGTGTCGTCCTCGCAATTAGAACCTGCGCGGTTGGTCGTGATGTTGAGCAGACGGGGTCCAGCTAAGTTTGAATGACTTAGGTCCTGGATTACTCCGCTTGATGCCAGCCTTTCCACATCTGCAAATCTTCGTCTTTTGATTTATCAGAGCCACGCAGAGCTGCGTGGCCTTCATTACACGTCTGTCACCACCATTATCTCGGGTGGGTGGTGACAGGGTTACCGGGATCAGCCCCCCTTTGCTTTGCTGGTCCGGAAACACTAACTTCTTGCTAGTGCCCTGAGGCAGTACTTGTGGTGACCTAACCTCTTGACAAGTCGGCCCTTAGCAACGAAGAGGGACTCAGTATCTGTGAATGCGTGTCTATCAGATAGTTGCTCCGGATGTGTTAGTTCTGCTCCCTGGTTGTGTGTTCTTGCATCATTTCGTGTCCGTCAATTCGCCTGACGTTTCTCGAATGATTCCGTGTACGTCAGTCACAGCAGATGCATAAGTTGGTCTGCTGTGGAAGCGAGCTCAACGCTATGTACTTTTCGCACTTTCTGTGGGTCTTTCGTTTACAAGACGTGAAGGCCAGACCCAAGCTCCGCAGAAATGAAATTGCCGAGACAGTTGCGAAGCTTGTTTTAAATTTCTGCTGTAGCAACCGACCTCTCTCGTCGTTTCAGCCACTTCTGTGAGCAGCGGGTTGGCAAAGAGTCGGTGAACTGCGACAAGCGCTCTGAGTCGGTCTGAATTCAACGGCTGTAACCTTTGATCCATACTCCTCATGAGAAAGAGCCTCTGCAAAGAATAGATATATACCCAATACAGATTGAAATGCAACAGAGAAGACTCGTCCGTCGCACGCCGCTGCTGCGAATTGCTGAAGGACTTTCCACTTTTTGGCTCGGAAGTCAATACTGAGTTCTGCTCAGGATTTGTGTTGCCTTTGACACGGGTACTCGTTTGCTTATTTTCGTCGAAGCACGTGGCCATGAAATAGTCCGCGAAACCCGGGGAGCTTTTCGTTCCCAGAGATTGTCAACCTTGACGCCGAAACGCCCGATCCTCATACTGACAACCAATGGCTCTGAGCGCACCAGAAATGTTTCACATCCTGTTGGTTGCTTCTCTTCTGGACGGCTTTGCCATCGAAATTGGGCTTAGTAATTGGATATTCTTAAAAGAAGGCGTCACACAGTTGATGTATGACCCTCAGCGCCGTCAAGGCCTTGTCTCTGAGGTTTCCACGTTGCTGCCCAAAGTGAGTCTGCACGTCGGTATTGAGCGGAGCGGCTGGAACAGTTGTACACGGGCTTAATGGTCGAACTTCGGCACAATATCCACGCAACACGCCCGTCCCTTCTGAAGTGGGGTGAGTGAATTTTTTAAGTGGTCAGTCGGATGTATTTAGCTGTCGAAGTGCTGATCATCAAAGTTCGAGGCTTTAGTGCAGCAATTGAGGCACTAAGGTCTAACCCTCCATCCATCGACTCAGCCGCACGCGTCTTGCTCTCCGTGTGTCTTGCTTGCGTTGGACGGGAGTCACCCAACGTTTCAATCTGATAATGTAGCTAGTCGGGACGACACAATTATGAGGCTAATGATGGCCATGAAGTGACGGCCAACATGGATTCTCACGAGTCCAACGCCGGGCTACCAAATGCCTGACTGAAGCTAGCCATAAGTATGCGACTATCAAGGTAATCACGTCGATGTGGAATGGTATGGCGACCGTCTACCAAACTGCATCAAGTTGCTTAGAGCTTTGCAGTGGAGTTGCACGCATGGAGTGCCTACTAGGCTATAGTCACCTGTTTCACACGTGCAATGATGATGTGTTTCGGGCCGCTAACCAAAGTGCGTTAAGCTGCACTGAAGATGTGGTGTGCACGCGGCTTTACATGAAGTATCTAGCACAACACGGGGTCCATGTATTCGAACATTGAGCCCGGCGACTCGCTTGCTGTTGAGCTAGACGGTCGGGCCTGCTGAGATGATTGGTTCAAACCACTGTCGGGTTTGGTTGTGGTTGCAATACAGGCTGTCCGGTTCGCGAGCGTCAGGATGTATATGCTGGCCCCAATCGGGACTAGCTGTGTGACCCCTTTTTTCATGCTGAGACCGGGATTCTAGGAGGCTTGGTCCTGCAGGAACCTATCGCTTTTCAGGGCTTCCCTTTCTCGGTGTCTAAGAACGGGAACGAATCTCCGACGGCCGGCCGTTCTTAATCGAGCGGTGTGCTTTCCTCCGCTGTTCTGCTGCGCGCTGTCATTGACTATGAGCAGAAACCGTTGTGCGGTACTACTTAACGTTCCTCACTGCTTGGCCTATTTGTGCGAAGCCAGTGGACGCAAACATTTGTCAGTCCTTGCTCGGCTTACTGCCAAAGCCCAAGGTCTCGCTTTGACAGAGACTTGATTCTCCGTGGTCGACAGGTCTAAGCCGTTTGCACCGATACTACCCCCGAATGTCTACTACCATGCGTCTTAGTGTTGTTAGAGGACCACTTCAGTCGGTGACGGATCAGGAACGCGGTGTGTTTGACCCCCAAGGTTTTCTGGGTTTGAAGCAGTACTAAGCATTCATGGCGCCAGAATCAGGCAGTGAAGACAAGAGGGCATGGCTCAACAGCGCCAGCGCGAAGCTGCTCTGCTCCTAATTCTGACGTGCCATTTGAGCGAAATTGTATGTTTTTCAGCAAAGTTGCGCGCGCTGTTGGTTGTCTACTTGCATGTCTGATCACTGCTGGCTTTGTTGGACGTTGTTCTGCTGCACATCTCTGATATAAGTTTGACCGCTCTTTCACGATCTGCTGGCAGCTTCGCCAATTTTTTCGCCTCTGATATAACCGGTTCGGCCATACAATCCCTTCATATCTTCAGTACATCGATCTGGACCAAAGGAAGCGGGCTGGACGTGATTTCCCGGTGCAAGGGTATTGCCCGAGTTAGTTGGACCAAACGTCCGTCTGTTCTTAGCTAACCTGTCTGATGCTTGAACTGCATGCCTTATTACATGCCTATTATGGACGGGTGGCTCCGTGTTGCGTATATCGACAGCCAAACGTCTCTACTCTGCTTGACCGGTAGGTTTGTTTCCTTCCACGTCAAAGTGGCTACGATTTCGGGTGCAGGTCCTCAGGTCCGAAAGTTCGTAGCTTTGCTTCCATTGTACGTGCACAACTTCGCAATGGTTAACCTTGCAGGATGAGACAGTGGGCAATGTTCAGCAATGCGTCAGGTTGCAAGCGCAACTTGTCCGGCGCTGGGATCTGAAAAGCTTTTCTGCATGACGTCATCGTCGTGGTCCGTGTGCGGCCGTGAAGCTTCTGGACACTGGCACTTCTTTGCGAATTCACAGTTTTTTTTGCGCTATACACGATACGCAAGGTTCGTTAGAAGAATGAGCCACTCAACTAGCTTTGGATTTTGTTATGGCTGTCAGACGAGGTGACTAACCGGTACGTCGTGACTTGTTTGCGCATTCCCGAGCGCTGGCTGTTGCCTTTACGCGATGGCGGAGATAGCCCTTTGCTTTTTGGCTCCCTTTTTCTGCTTGATGTTGTCTTTCTTCTTGCGGACTTCATCAACATGGCCGTAGCAGTGTGTTACACGTCTCAGGAGAGACACCGTTATCGCTTGGCATACAGTCATGGTTGCTTTGCCAGGAGAAGACGGACTCAGGCACGTCGATCAAAGTGGAGCTAGCGGTCTTTTGGACGGTGAGGCAGTGATGGGCGGTTGGTTGAGGAGTCGATTCCTCAACTTAGAAGCTCATCCCTAGTGAAGCCATTGAACTCCATTCTTGAAGGTTTTCTCCACAGTTTGCCGAACTAGTATTACTCCCAGCATACTCAGGCTCCTCAAGAGTTATCTGCGTACTGATACTGGCCCGAAGTAATAACGAACTTCGCGCGGGCTTGGCCACCCTTCGATCGTTACGGAACTTAGAATCTGGCTTTGGCAACGTCCTGATCTGCGTTCAAACCAATGCACAATCAGCCTCCATTGAGCCATCGAGCCCCACTCGAGTTTTGTCAACAGGTGGCAGGGATGCCTCAGTCTAAACTTCAGAAGCACGCGCTGTACTTCAAAGGAGATGATTTTAAAGGTAGCGGGCATGGCTGTCTTTTCAGCCCAAAATTCCAAAGGCCCTGTAGTCTCGCCGGCTGCGTATTGCTTTTATGCACTCATTAGATGGACTGCCGTTCAAAGTTTCGATCTGCAGCCTAGTAAACAATCGGCAACGATGGTAGCTGCTGATGTCATCCAATCAAGACAAGAACAGCATTGCCACTGAGCCCCATCTGCCGGCCTAGATGGGTA